GTTATCCGACGCTGCTAAAGAATTATATAAAGTTGTTTTAAAAGGTATTCAGCGTAGGTAATAATATATAGTAATTTAAGTTTAGTTTAGATATGTAGTAATTAAATAAGGAAGTATGAATTGTAGCACTATGAGGGTGTCATTTTCTAAATAGAAAAAACCCTCCCTTAAAAATAAAGAGGAAAAAAAAAGAGACCAATACTTACATTTCTTCACAGCATCCTGCTAGCTAGGTTGTGTTATCCTCTTTTAGACCAGTCAACCGCACTTATATTTTCACTAAGAAGTTACTTTCTCTATTTTCTCATAACTTCAGAAGTAAATATCAAAATTTAAAGTTAATTCAAAACCTAAAAATTTAGTTACACTCAATAAAAAATCAGTCTGGCGGTCAAGTTCTGCCAAAGAATTGCCAAAGTTTCCAATATTTAAGTTGAACTACAATGTCATACAATACGATTAAATATCTAAAAAAGGAAATCAACAATACCTAATTAACGTCGTTTTATTGATAATATGAATATAGTACCTATTGTAAAGTGTAACGTTATTGCCTTCCCCTTCAGTCATGCATTATTGATTCTTTTTAGGCATTAACTTAAGTAGCTGATTAAAGAATTATTTAATGCCTTTTATGGATGCTTTGAATATTTTTCATTCTCTGCAGTTACTACGCTTTGCAGCTCTTGTGGAAAAGTATTAAATTTTGGGTGAATCACTACAAATACTTCTATAATAATTTTATTTAATGAACATAGTATATGAGGTATCAATATCGGTTAGAAGAATTGTGTCTATTCCAACAACAAATCATTTGATGCCCGGTTAGAGAGATAAAATAAAATTAGGACAAGCATCGTCATCATGGTTTTCCCGCTTCAGATGTTTTTAATTTATGAGAGATAAATTTTAATTTATTTAAATAAGACAGCTTTCAAAATGGTTAAATTAGCTTGTGAAAGGCTAAAAATAATTACTGATATAAAAACAAGGTGTTGTATTAATGTATAATTTTAGGTACAATAGTAGAAAATTATTATCCCACAACTTTTATTAAACCCATCAGAACTACATGTACGATCGATTGAGATCCATTTTAAAACAAAGTTAATAATTATTACTCTCTGTTGTATAATGTGTTTCTGTGACATGGATTTAGGATGAAAATTGTTATCGGTTTGCTATTAGCTTTAATCTACTCTAATTCATAGTTATTTTCGTAACAAAATTAGCAAGCAAGCAACCATATTTTCATTAAGTTAAATTTTTATAAATTAAGATCTTGTATAGCTATATGTTAATGGTTCAATAAAATATTGGCTCTCCGAATCTTAAGACCTTCATAGATATTAAACGACAAGTAATGGTGCGAAGAGATTAATGAACTGAGAATGAGGTTTACAAAGTCATATGGTAGCTAATGTTCTGTATACCGCATATAAATTCAATGCTTTGTAGGTGATATTTTTTAAGAACTTTCTACTTTCGGAAGCGTCTTTTTCAACTCTAAGGAACAAAATTTGTGCGTAGGAAATGACGAACGGACGATTTGAGAAGAAAAGTAGGTCCACATATAGGGGTTATCCGATATACGTATACGTATATAGGGCTTGGGACATTTGAAATTCAGGAGGAACAATAAACTTATTATATCGCATTTTTGGTATATTGCAGTATTTATAGAATAATATAATATTATATGTGTTTTCGTATATAACACCTATAATTATTTCTAACTTTTCAATATACGAGAAACACAGTAATTTTTATCAATTTATATTTTAAAATGAATTAAACATTGTTTAATATTTCTGGTTTACTATTAATGGAGAAAAAAATCCCTATAAGACTACAAAATTAAAAAAAATATTCAACTCTACTCGTATAACATACATACATAGTTATATGTCAAATAGTGTAGATAAGAAAGCAATATATATGTAGGTACATAGATTCTCCATCTATGTTCATACTTTGTGGGAGAATAAAATTGTGAAAAAAATCAAGATCTTCTAAACTCTTAAAATAATTAATCAAGATGTATTAATTACTGTTTTATTGAAATAAGTATTTAAACTGTAGATTTAATACCAAAGAAATAAAAAAATAATAAATTGAAGTGGAAACTTCATGTTTTTATGTAGACATAATTATAGTGTTTATTTTCCCAGAAAAAAATTGTACAGTTAGGACCATTATGATAAACATATTGTGGATTACTATTTTGATAAACATTTTTGTAGTTTAGTATTAAAACTTCTTTGCGAATATTTAGCCCCCCCATTACTAGCTGTGCCGGTATAAAAGACGTGCACGATTATTCTAAAAGGAGTCTTCGCTCTGGCGCGGCTCGGTGCAATAGTTGTACTTGCTTGCTTACCTAGACTCTTTGGATAATTAATTTGTGTAAACGATTTAATTTTTATTCCGGTGCTATAATTTGGTCCCTAGACTAATTATACCTGATTTAAACTATTATTCATTTTAAAAGAACTTCATGCCTTTAACTATGGTCCATCCTCCTCTTTATATTCTCTTTCTACATGTACATAATAATTTAATATTGTTGTAAGGTTTTTGTTAGTGTCAATTAGGTTTAGTGACAATGGTGTCCTAGTGGTTAAGTGATCGCCTCTCGTGCCCAAGAGCGAGGGTTTGATCCTGGTAAGTATCAATGTGACTTTTCCAAGTCATATGTACTTTCTAAGAGTATTTAGACACCACTGACAGACTGTGAAGGAAAACATCGTAAGGAAACCTGGACTTATAATTTCAAATTTTAATTTTGAAATCAACAACGCGTCTTGAGCAAGCGTGGTGTTTAATACTCAAACCTTCTCTATGTGAGAAAGAGGCCGTTGCTCAGCAGTGGGCACTGTTAGGTTGATGACCTTAGGTTTTTGAAGGTTGATAGGTTTTTGAACTTTCCATTTTATTGGTTTAAATTATACAGGGATTGAAATTATTAATTTTGATAATTTCTGAATAGCTTAATCAAAAAAAACTGTAACTTCGTGGCAATTTAATAAAATTTTTAATTTTTCGTTTATTGTCAAAGGACATTTTTGAGTTAATAATTACTTTATTTAAATATAGACATAGAATAAAAAAAATAAAGCATATACAACTAAATCTTAGAATAAAGAAAAAGGTCGGTTTAATAATGTTTTAGTAATGGTGAGATGAAAATTGCACAAAGAGTAACAAATATATCAACAATTTTAATATGAAAAGTAAACATATACTTAAATAAAATCAGAATTATTTGATCAGCAAAGGCAAAAGTATATTTTGTTGAAACTTTAGAAATTATTTTATTCCCTTGTTTTTTAATAGAAATAAATAACGAGATAATTTTTTGTTGTAACTCACGGTCTTGAATGAAAATGGATTTTTAAAAATACTGTTTATGCAGACGAGTGCTCGTGACAAAAAATAATGTACAAAAGTATATCGAGTTACTTTTGTACACCATAAGTTTTTTTTTTTTTTTTTTTTTTTTTTTATCCTTGGGGAAATGCATTTACGCATCCCCGCCGTTTTTAGAAAACAGCGGGGTATGTGGGACTCGTTGCCACTACCCACTAAAAACCCAAGGGTGTTCCACGACGGCCCTTGTGTCGGGGCGGGGGATCGCTTTCGCACTCCATCCAACTTCCCCGACAGGCTGGCCCGCATTCTGGGGGCCCTTCTTCTTTTGGGGGGCACTGGTACCGCCCCCCCCCCTCGTGTGGTGCTCTTATCCACGCACGTGACCTCGGGAGTTGCATGGGGAACACAACCATGCAACTCCCTTTATTGTACACCATAAGTTACCTATTCTGTCACGAAATCTATGTCACTTCGATTGTTTGTTAATTCTGCCTATTTATTTATTTATTTATTTTTATTTTTTTGCTACATACATACATTACATATATGTATTTCAGTTTTACAGAAGAAAAAAAATCTAAATTTAAGCAGTGTAGCAAGGGGGTCCATCTCAGTATAAGTTGTGCTAATGCACAGAACAGAATATTTGGTAAAAAATACACAAATGCGTGCACACGAAAATCAATAAATAAAATTATAAGAAAAAAAAAACTAAAAACCCCTTATCCTTGAGAAAAAAAAACATATAAACAAAAAGAAAAAATATGCCTATGCATATAACACAAAAAGAAAAAATATTTCTAATTTAATAATCTTTAACATTGAACTCACATTTAAAATGACTAACTTTTTTGTTTAAACAATAATTTGAAGAAATTTAAAGCGACTTTTCACTTAATCTCTTAAATAAAAGAAAATGATCAGATGTGTATACTAAAGGAAAATATAATAGGTCTTATACCTAATGTCTTAAGAGTCATAGGAGACGGAAAAGGCTCAGTGTACGTCATCTTCCCGCGGGAAAGCCCGCAGTCGCTTCGAGCGCCCGTCGCGTCATAACGCCGCGCCGCTTCTAATCAATAGGGCACTGTCGCAAATTCACACTTTTATACACGTAACCGTTTTTTGATTGTTTTAAAATTTCTTAGATCCCCATTCTACATCGTGTCTTTACTTGCTTTGGCCTAAATAATGACCTTTTTAAAAGTTTTATCGTACTTTAAACATTACGTCATAAATGAAAAATAATGTGGTGTTGTGCATAACAATCGTAACCATTAAATCTTGTCGGAATTTTAAGTATTTTAAGCGTATGTAATTTTACAACTTACAACAGCTGTTTTCAGTCTCTTCATATTCGACCTAATTATATCAAAGTTTGTTACTGAAATTTGTTTATAATGTTCACGAAGCAAATTAAGTAAACATACAGAACAGAACGTATCTTTAACAAAAAACAATGGGAAAAGTTCGTGTGGTACTACCATCACTGTAACTATGAAATATTATAATAGATTTTGAAAAGGAAAAATTTTAAATATCAATTTAATATTTGTCGTAGAATCCAATATCAGCGAACCAAATGTCCCAAACCCGCGGTTATGAGTTAAACGTGCGAAGGTCACGACTTGCGTAGTATCTGGCACGCCGAGCAGCCGCGTCGTATGACGCGCCTTCAGTGCGCTCGCGCCGTTAGTTGCGACGCTAGCTTCTCAGGATATGTCCGTGCTATGGATTACCAATGTGTGGTTGTGTACACCGTCATCAATATCTCACCACCACGAATGACCCAAACAGCATCCATCACGAACGGATGCGTGGATTGGTTCAGAAATAAAATTAAAAGGTACTTTTAATTTTTTTTAGATATAAATATATATATATATTACAGATAGGGTAAAAATATATATATATATATATATATATATATATATATATATATATATATATATATATATATATATATATATTACAGATAGGGTAAAAATGTTTGAATTATCAAATAATACATATCGAAATCTGTGTGTGTGTGGTGTGTGTGCGTGTGCGTGTGCGTGTGCGTGTGTGTGTGTCTGTTTGTAGCATCATGTAGTAAATGAATCAAAGGATTTTTTATTTAAAAGCCATGCCTTTAGCTGCTTTTAGGCTATGTTGGACAATTGATATTTGGTCAATTCCGGTCCAGTGGTGTAAGAGTGTTAGCTTTTTTCTAAATGATATATGGAATTTTTGGTACATTGGTACACGGTTAGTCGCCTCATGCATGCAAAAAATAATATCATTAAATGAATTATCATTAAATGAATTATCATTATTTTTTTCTGAAAGTGCCAGGAAACATAAAATAATGATTGATATTGCTAGAGTTAAGCTTCTCAAGCAAATCATAGCCATAATCTGTTAGAAACATGTCGTTTTTATGTAATACTAGCGAACCCGACAGACGTTGTTCCGCCGAGTATCTGAACGCATGCAACACATTTCTTGATGATTTTATTATTTGTCTAACCTAATATGTATATCGGGGTGCCATTTTTATATATTAAAAAAATGGGCCTAGAAGCACTTTTAATCATTATTAGATTGCGTTGGAAGTTTTATAAAATAAAATAAAAATATGTTATGTTAAATAAATTTGGTTTTAATAAATAATTAATATTTTTATTGTTATAATAGCGGTAAACTTAAAAATAAATGTTTTTTATTATTATTTAATAACTGAACCTAAAATGAGCACTCAAGGTGATTTCAAAAAAAATATTAAGATTGTATATTTCGTTCTTAAAATATTTCATATTTACTTTATTTTAAAAGTCACAGAATGAGTTACAGCATAAATCCTATACATCATTTTTAGATGAATGTTGAGAATTCATTCTAATTGATCTGACATCTTTGTGAACTTACCAAGAACAATCATCTTACCTCTCTATATACTCGTAATATATAGGTTACAGCACTTTCTTGATATCATTATTTATATAACACACAAATCATAGAAATTCTTCACTGTAAAAATCATGTCCTTCGTGAAGACTTACTTTGGATTCCGAAAATATATTGAAAAATAAAAAGAAAGTTTTATATTAGGCCAATACTTTTATGTCTGGTGTTAATATCGAAAATCAATCTAGCCTGATATTGTGGTTGTCTCTTGTTTTTTTTTTACAGAATTGTTTTCACTTTATTACTGATTAATAGAAACTAAGTATATAATTCAAAGAAGAATTATAATTATTTAATTGCTCCTGATCTTAAAAGGTGTAAATAATTTTGCAATCACTAATTAATAACTAACTAATAACTAATTTTGCAATAATAATTCTTCGAAAGTGGTATTATGAAATTTAAGGAAAGAACATACTTACAGAAGCGTTGCTTCATAACTTTAATCTCTGTCCACGATGCCTCTAGGCTTTTAGTCTAAGGACTAACCTAAAGGATAGTTTGATCAGGATTATTTACCATTTACGGGGGTGATTTGGTGAATTGCCATAGCAGGTCCCAAATCGCTCCCAAATACGGGCAGGAAGGGAAGCCGGGGAGTTTTAGTGGGTATTCCCAGGGCCAACACCATCAGGCTCTGGGCGACCCCCACACAAGTCCCACTGTCGAGCCAAGGCAGTGGGTAGTCTGTAAGCGGATTTCTCCCGGAAAAAAAAGGATTATTTACCGTTTATTGTAATTTTAATGAGAAAAAATTTAAACAACTGATTTATGAATTAACATCGTTAATAATATAAGACCCAGACGACAATTGAAAAGAACTAGTTATCGCATTATTTGATCTGGATTTCAAAATTTTTGATTTACTGATGATCATTGTCATTTTATACATTAAGCTTCATGCATAGGTAGTCAAAGTAAAATACCTCTCTGATTGGAATGTCACATATATTTATATGTATATTTTTCTTTTACATACTGCTACCGTCTTCATGTTTTTCTGCTTTTCCTAAGGTTTGACTGGCAGAGAATGCCTTCAGGCATTAAGTCCACCTTTTGTATCTACGTGTGTAGGTAGACAATAAAGTTTTTAAATAAATAAATATGCCGGGGTTCACAAGACGGCGTCCTCTCCCCTTTACTCTTCTCTATATTCATAGATAATATTTCCAAAACCATTTCTTCTCCCTATCATCTCTATGCAGATGATTTGCAGCTTTATAGACATACTCCACTATCTACACTTGTGGTAGCTATCGAGGCTGTTAATGAGGAGTTGATATCTATACACAGATGGGCAAATGACTTCGGTTTGCTAGTGAACCCAAATAAATCTCAGGCGATTATTATTGGAAGCAAGCAACTCTACAAAAAAATTAATTTTGACATTTTACCCTGTATAATGTACGATGGGGTGACAATCCCATTGTTAGATCGGGTTAAAAACTTAGGTCTATTAATGGATTGTCATCTGTCGTGGACAGCTCAGGTGAATGAAGTAAGTAGACGAATTCACTCTACTCTTCATTCCCTTAAACGTCTGCAAAACTTCCTTCCTTTTAAAACTAAAATTATTCTTGCACAATCTCTCCTTCTTTCCTTACTCGACTACGGTGATGTTTGCTACTTAGATGCCACTGATGAGCTGCTCGATAAACTGGATCGACTTCAGAATTTATGCATCCGTTTTATTTTCGGTTTGCGTAAATACGACCACATCTCTGAATTCCGCAGCAAATTAAAGTGGCTCCCTATCCGCTTCCGCCGGAATATGCATGTTTTAACGTTAATGTACAATGTGTTCAAACATTCTTCTCCCCCGTACCTACACGAACGTTTTAAATTTTCCTCCCCCAGAATCCTTCCTAATCGCTCCTGTGTTGCACAAAATCCTCTTGATATCCCCTCCTTTAATACTAAATTGGTGCAAAACTTTGGAACTCACTCCCACCTTCTGTTTACAAAGAGAGTCCAAGTGCATTTGCCTTTAAATATCGGCTTAAGAACATCTTCTATTACTTTTACCTTAATATAATATGTAATGTTTATGTACTTATATATATTTATGTATATGTTGTATATTTATGTATATATTGTATTTATTTGTATATATTTATGTATATATCTATGTATAATATCTGTATTTTATACTATTATAATTTGGTTTGTATTCTTACATATATCTATATACCTCTTTTTTCTTTTTTTCTTCTGTCATTTTATTGTACCTATGCCACATTTCTCTTCTCATTTCCTCTATCAAAAGGGTTTCTGGTAGAGATCTCTTCTAAGAGATAAGTTATCCTTTGTACATCACATTTCTTTTATAATACTCTAATTGTAACTATTTTTTATGTTTGGTACATAAATAAATAAATAAATAAATAAATAAATAAATAAATAAATAAATAAATAAATAAATAAATAAATAAATAAATGAATGAATGAATGGATGGATGGACGATCCCGTAGAGAAACCCCGAGCATAGCTCTCTTCATAGCTCTTTGAGCGACTCTGAGTCTATTTATGAGGCCTTTGGTGAAACACTACGTTTCGGATCCATAAGTCATCTCTGGCAATACACAATGTTTAAATAGCTTCGTCTTAATAAGGCACTGAGGTTTTTTGGACAAAAAGACGTTATGTAACTTCACAAACGCTGCCCATCCGAGCTGGATTCGGCGATTGAACTCCTTCTCGAAGTTGGACCTAACTGGTTTGTCTGTCCCAGGTATACATATGCGTCAACAACTTCAAGTACCGAGTTCTCAACCATAATAGGGGTGGGTGCAACATGGACATTAGACATAAGTTTCGTCTTGTCCATGTTAATTTTAAGACCTACTCGTTGGGAGAGGTCTTCGAGCATTATACTTAGTTCCTACATCGACTTTGCCATGACTACAATATCGTCGGCAAACTGAAGGTGAGTAATGTATTCGCCGGTAATATTGATGCCTTCCCATTCCAGAAGCTTGAAGGCGTCTTCCAAAGCAGCCGTAAACAGTTTCGGAGATATGACGTCTCCCTGTCTTACGCCTCTTTTTAAGGGGATCGCCTTCAAATTCTGTTTATGAAGTCGGACCGACATAGTGGCGTTTCTATACAAGTACTTCAGCACTTCGATATACCGATAGTCAATTTGGCATCGCTGAAAAGACTCCAGTACCGCCCATGTTTCGACCGAATCAAAGGCTTTTTTGTAGTCCACAAACGCTAGACAGAGTGGCAAGTTATACTCCTCAGTCTGTTATATAACCTGGCGCAGTATATGTATGTGGTCTACGGTACTATAGCCTTTTCGGAACCCTGCTTGTTTGGGAAGCCGGAAGTCATCAAACCTGCGTTCGAGACGATTTCCAATGACCCTAGAAAACAGCTTGTATACGTGGCTCAAGAGAGATATGGGTCTGTAGTTCTGCAATAAGGTGTTATCACCTTTCTTGAAGAACAACACCACCAGGCTCCTGTTCCACGCCTCAGGCGTGGTACTTTAGAACAAGACAGAATTGAAGAGCTTCTGAAGGACTTTAAGTACCGGTAATCCACCCGCTTTCAGAAACTCCGAAGTAATTCCGTCCTCACCAGGTGCCTTGTTGTTCTTGAACTGTTATAGAGCCGTCTCAATCTCAGACAGGCTGATGACCGGGATATCCTCGGTATAGTGTCGGATCACCTTAGCTCTCGGGTCTGTGACCACATCAGAAACAGGCTTTGTTACAGAATCTTAGAGTCGTCCAGAGAAGTTCTCAATTTCCCCTAAGCCTTCCGCACTGTAATTCTAAAATAAATTGATTAGTATCTGAGTCTAGTATTCAATAGAATATTAATAAAAGACACAGCTATAAAGCCTTTTAATATTGGTTAGGGTTCTCTTTCAATAATAGTTCTGATATGTAACATTTCTTTATATTACATATCGGAATATATATCTCAGTACTTTTTAAAGGTTTATGAAAATAGTTAAACGGGATCATTTCTTTTGATTCGTATATAAATTTGTATTATTTATTGGCCTAGAGCTATTTGTTTTAATCTTTGATAAATTAATAAAACTATTAATTTCGAGCAAAAATAAATAATGAATGAAATCAATTTTTTACACACAATCTCGTCATGCTTTTTGTTACTCAAGGTGAAATGAAACCGATTGGTTATAAAAATTGAAAAACAATATTACTGCAACAGGCATATTAAATCATCGATCCATATTAAATATGTTTATTTTTTCAGGGCCATTGCTGTGTATTTTCATTCTCTAAAATTGACTCCAAACAATGGTATTATACACGGAAACTTGGCTTGCCTCTACTATAAACAAGGCTTCATAGATTTAGCTATTGATACTTACCGACAAGCTATTGAACTACACCCTAATTTTCCCGATGCGTATTGCAATCTTGCTAATGCACTAAAAGAAAAAGGTCTTGTTCAAGAAGCTGAAGAATGTTATAACAAAGCTTTGTATCTGTGCCCATCACACGTCGATACGTTAAATAATCTTGGTAATGTTAAGAGAGAACAAGGAAAAATTGAAGAAGCCACTAGACTATATATGAGAGCGTTACAAGAATTTCCTCATTTTGCAGCTACTCATAGTAATTTAGCATCCTTATTACAGCAACAAGGTATTTAAATATACGATAAGAAGGTGAATTACTGATAGTGGCTTTTCTCTTACACTATATTTCCACAATATATGTAATATAACATACTTTTCAGTTCAGATAGGAATGTCATAGATTTAGTAATAAGAGAACAATATTGTTTTTACAGTCATGTGCGTTTATTGTAAATAACAATTTAATTTTTAATTTTTATATGCACATATGTAATTACTATTATACAAAAAAATAATAAAAACTATTTCAGGTAAGTTTCAAGAGGCTTTGTATCATTACACACAAGCTATAAATATTCAACCAAAATTCGCTGATGCTTATAGCAATATGGGGAACACTTTAAGAGAGATGCAAGATACAAGTGGTGCTTTAAGATGTTTTAAAAAAGCAATTGAAATAAATCCTCTTTTTGCTGATGCTCATTGCAATTTAGCGAGTATTTATAAAGATATGGGAAATATTTGTGAGGCAATAACATCGTATAACAATGCTCTGAGAATTAAATCAGATTTTCCTGACGCTTATTCTAATTTGGCACATTGTTTACAAATAATTTGTAACTGGGATTGCTATCAAGAAAGAATGCATAAACTTGTTTCAATAGTTGAGGATCAATTATTAACTAGTGATAAATTATGCTCCGTACACCCACATCACACTATTTTATACCCATTGTCAAATTTAGCGAGAAAGGAAATAGCTGCTCGACATGCAGCTTTATATTTGGAAAAAGTAAATATGCTCACTTCTACAACTTTTAGGCATACCAAAAAGCGAAAAGGCCGCCTCCGTATTGGTTATGTTAGTAGTGACTTTGGAAATCACCCTACTTCTCATTTGATGCAGTCAATACCTGGACTCCACAATCGATCAAATGTAGAAATATTTTGCTATGCTTTAAATGTAGATGATAAAACAACATTCCGTAATAAAATTGTAAGTGAATGTGAACATTTTACTGACTTATCCACTATTAGATGTAACATTGAAGCAGCTGCCAAAATAAATAGTGATGATATTAATATACTAATAAATATGAATGGTTATACGAAAGGTGCTAGAAATGAAATATTTGCCTTAAAACCAGCACCAATTCAAGCTTTATGGCTTGGTTATCCCGGAACCAGCGGGGCAGGGTACATAGACTATATCATAAGCGACGAGATTTCAAGCCCTCTTTCCATGTCTGATAATTTTACTGAAAAGTTTGCCTACATGCCTTATACATATTTTGTGGGTGATCATAAGGAAATGTTTCCTCACTTAAAAAAACGGTACAGCGTAAGAAAATACGAAGAAAAAACCATGAGTGAAAATTTTGCCGTTATAAACTGTGGTGATGCTATTAACTTAAATGAATATTTTGAGGTAAAATATTACAAACAAGTTTTGTCATATAAAAATTTAGAACCGATAGAAGTTACTATGTATGAAGTAGATATTCCTATATATGCTATCGAATCAACAATAAATTGTAAACAAGAACAGGTATCTATATAAACATTTTTTCTAATCTTAATTCTTTTAACTCAACTGTCATCAAAAATGAATAGTTCTACTGTTTTAGGTATGCGTAAATAATATATTTATCGATAATGGCTTAGCCTTAAGATTTTCAAAGAAAAAAATTGCTAGTGGAGAAGAAAGGTACGATAACATCATTTTAACAACTAGAAGGCAATATAATTTACCAGAAGACGCTGTGGTGTTTTGTAATTTTAATCAACTTTATAAAACAGACCCAAAAACTTTAGAAATGTGGATAAATATATTGAATAATGTTCCAAATAGTATACTTTGGCTTTTAGCTTTTCCAGCAGCTGGAGAATCCAATCTGCGCCATTTTGCACAGTCACGAGGTAAATTGCATAATAATATGTATTGGATATTATGAGGTCACATTTTACTACGTTATTAAAAAATTTTGAGCTATTACAGGTCTTTCATCGGATCGTATTATATTTTCGAAAATAGCACCTAAAGAAGAACATGTTCGAAGGGGGCAAATATCAGATGTTTGCTTAGATACTCCTTTATGTAATGGCCATACAACTACAATGGATATTCTTTGGACCGGAACTCCCGTGGTCACTTTACCGGGAAAGACGTTAGCCTCTAGGTAAACAGCATTAATATCGTCAGTTTCAAGATTATTATTTAAAGTAAGATTTAGCCTACATAATTTAATGGGCCTTTTTTTTGTTCTCGGGGGGAAAATCTTCGAAAGACTTCCGGCCGTGTGGGGAACACGGCCGGGGCATGTGACATTCTATTCACTAAAAACCCCCCGGCACTCCCGCTGAGTGTTGGAGTCGCGGGAACTGTCATACGACCGCGTCTCCGGCGACGGGTGACTGCTTAAACTACTAAGCGGTCTCTTCTCATTGGGGCTCAGTACGCCCCCCAGGCCGAACAGAGGCCCCTAGGGGCTTGCCTGGGCCGTTCGTCGCTATGCCGCGGTGCGCAGGAGTGTTTGCGCACCACGGTCCGCTCGGAGTGTCGTTGCAATGAGGCGACGGTGTCCCCGCACCGCCACCTCGAGAACCCCGGCTAAGGCGGGACGTCACGGCCATGGATGTTAGTGGCCGCACGTCGTCGTCTAGGTCGTCTTCTGGATGTTTCGAGCACCTCCCTGTCTCGGCCGCGCTCGTCTTCTTCCTTGGCGGCCATCACCTCCTCAGCGAAGGTGGCGACCGCAGTCCAATCCGATTCGCTGCGCAGCATACATTGGATGATAGCTAGCAGCGAGGTGTCAAGTCCGGTGGTGTCAAGTCCAGTGGCGGCTCGTAGAGCCGCACGTTGTCTAGTCCAGGAGGGACACGCCGAAATGGTGTGTTCGGCTGTGTCCCTTTCGTCGGCGCATTGGTGACATCGCGGGGCTTCCTCTCGACCCACGACCTCACACAGGTACCTGCCGAAGCAGCCATGCCCCGTGAGCACCTGTGTGAGTCGGAAGGAGAGCGCGCCATGTCTTCTGCCTATCCATTCCCGCAGGAAATTTAATGGGCCTTAAACGACGTTCTTTCACTTTTGATGAGATAAAAGCAAATATAAAAATAAATAGATGAAATACTTCAAAATCTTCAATTTAATAAAATATTTCTTAGATTTTATTTGTAATAAAAGAAAATAAAGATGCTTTTATCTATATAAAAAAGTATACCGATTGGAATCTTATTGCGACGGCAAAAAAAACACTGCTAATGATTTTAGTGTTGATAAAATAATACTGTACTCAACTCAGTTCTATAATCAATAATTATTAATTAATTTTAGACTATTATTTTCAGAGTAGCCTCTTCTCAGCTGACTGCATTAAAATGTACTGAACTTATAGCAAAAAGTAAGAAGAATTATGAAGAAATAGCCACAAAACTAGGCATAGACGCTGAATAGTAAGCATTTTTGATATTTATACATACTTGTTAAAAAAGTTAACCTTCAACTTTGAAATAAAAAATAAAATTGAGAAAGAATATTTGTATTCTTAAAATTTAAAGAATTTAAATAGTGGGTTGCCGTACGGTTATACCTCGGAATCCAGGGCCAATCAATAGTATATACATCGAAAAAACTTAGAAATAAAATTGTGCGATTTCAGTTCCCTAATTATAGGATGAGATTAACACTAGTTGTTAATTTTGTTCCGAAAAAAAAAATCAGCTTGTAGTTTATTTTTCATTAATGTTTATATTTATATACAGTGAGTGTGATGAAATTAATTAATTTCTGAACATTACTGCATTTTACAAACTTAAAATAGTGGGATACATAGTGAGTATTTGTTTTTTATTTATTCGTATACCTACTACATGAATTGAAAACATGAATATTTAATAATATATCATACAATAAATCGATTTTAAAAGTTATAATGTATTAGTATAATTTTATAATATATGTAAATCATTATTTCATTATGATATAAAGGTTAGTTATCAATATTAGTAATATTTGTGGTTACAGCCTAGTAAAATAATGGGTGAATCATCAAGGGCTGTAAGCAATGATTGCTGATTATTATTTCTTATAAAAGCGGATATTGTTCTGAATTAAGCTCTAAACTAGGAGATATTAAAAAAGGCACTAGAGTTATTTTACCATTACAAGCTGTTTTGCGGAAAGAGTGAATGGCCTTCTCAATATTTAGATACTAGTAAATTTGTCTACATGCCTTCGGTATACAAACAAGACTATGTCATAAAGGATGAATAAATTCTTATTAATCAAAGAAAAAACCTTTTCTACCTTACGACTCTCCGCTAAATCCTGGTTGATGAATTTAGATTAGACTAATAAGTTATAAAATTAGCACTATTGTTAAATAACAACATAGTTTTTGTTACAAAGGACAAATATGTAGTTTAAATACATTTGTCAGTCGTAGATATATAAGAGCCAAAGTATCAAATGCTCGTATAACAAGCACATTGTTTGATTGTAAACACTATGCTATGGCAATGGAGGACCTTTATGATAAGATGTGGCAACTATACGAAGATGGGAAAGAGCCAAATCACGTTTACGCTCTTAAAGTAACACCTTAATGAGCAACGTAAATTTCGTAAGTCTTTTTATGTTTAAAAAATGCAAAATCTCTAGTTATAGTACTTGTAGTGAAAATATAATTATATTTTTTATATCATAACTATTTTTTCCTAATTTGACCACATAAAATAATAAAAGAAGTTATTATTATATTTAAAATGATATCTTGTAAATTTTGAATATTCAAAATATATTATGAAATGTAAACTGTGCAAAAAAAAACAGTTTTTACGTAACCTTTTTGTATGATGTTATTCCCGACTACTAATGAAAATAATTTACAAGTTCCATTTCTCCCGAGAGGAAATTCACTATGTAAAATTGTTGCCAGCAGGTGGATACTGGATTGTGATCTTTGTTGATAGTACTATTTATAACTCTCGTAGATCTTTTATTTTGAAAACTCTTAATAATTTGCTTTATTTCATAAGATGATATTTTGTGTCACCAAAAAGAGTAATAATTAATGTCATGTTTATATGAAATGGTATCAGTAGGTTAATTTTCAGGAATAACTAAAGAAAACATTGTTATCTGTGGCATCTTTGTACATACTCCGCATACTTAAAATGAAAGTATTATACACTACAAGTGCTTAAAACAATATTTAAATCTATCAAATTCCTTGTTAGCAGTAACATATTAACAGACTTCATTCTGTTTTTAATTGTTGAGAAATTACATTAAAGTATTTATTATTTCAGACTTTAAAACACCGTTTTGATTTGAAGATTCGGGCCGAAATTCGTCCTACGAAAATTTCAAGATCCTATATAATGAAGCTAATAATAATGTGTTTCGAAAGTATTGAATCAACTCACGAATTTCTAATTCAAATGAACGGTTTTATTAATAATACTTTCACGGAAAAAGACAGAAAAATGTGTTCTATAAGATAAAACTTATATTTGAAGAATATTTAACGTACTTCCAAAATAAAAAGATAGAATAAACTTTCACTCTAAAATATTTAATCAGCTTAACATTTTGTTATTTCCTGAATTAAGTGTGATGGAAAATATTACTTATATTTTGAACAATTTATTATTAACACCTAATAAAGAAAGTACCTTAGGTCAAATAATATTTGTAAATTTCAAAATAACTGCTGACTATCAGCGAAATAATTGTTTATTGATTTTTAACCCATCAGCTTTTGTAAATTTTAGAATGTTTTAATGCTATTCCTTTTTTGCAATATATTAGATTATATTCTTTACAGTGTGAAAGTTTAAGTAACAAATTAAATCATAAAGTTAGGGAAATTAAAAAAAAAGTCCTTACCAACATGATTATCCCAGGAAAGTTTTTGAAAGAAAACACATTATTTTAGTGAATTGTTGATTTAATGCATACCCATTTTAACCTACATTACTACATAGTAATAGTCTAATTATAATAAGTAAATTGAAATAACATGTGATGTTTTAGACATTAAATAGCTTAAGAATGCAAATGCTGTTAGTATCCAAAGACCCAACTATGTTACAAAACTTTGATAAGACAATTTAACACTTAAAAACGTTTCCAAATTTTTAAGTGTATAATTTGCACTATATCAACTAACATATATTGTAACTAACTAAACATATATTGTATTTCGAGTTAAGTGGTCGTTTGCTATTTAATTTGTCAATGTATCTTCTCATGAGCTAAAAAGTTACTTTAAAAATCACAATACAAAACTTCAGGCCTGTTGTTAATGGAATGATGAGGAAAATAAACTGATTACTGTAATCGTTTCAAATAAAAATTGTGTCTTATTTATCTTACAGATCATTCTACGCCATACAGTTTTGCCTCCATTCTTTCCTGCCTTTACATGTATTTCTTTATTAATATGTATTAGATTCCATTTCATCAAAAATGATAGGTATAATTGTTGATGAAATGTTATTATACAATATCACTGTACAATTTATCAACGATAACAAATTTTTGTTTGATCATATCTATAATATACATATATAACATTTTCCAAACATTTTAACAGTGTAATATTTTATGTTATTTAAAGACTTACATACATATGTAGATATTATATCTAATTATAAAAAGTCAGATATTATTATTTACATAATAAGCCAATGATAACCTTTTTAAGTCTTCCTTATATTTCTCTTTAAGCTTTCAGATTATGATTCAAAATAAACATTTTGGTTTGCGAATCCTTTCCCAGTGCGGTTAGCATAAATTCGTGTTGGCAACAGGCAACCCAAACGTTGATAATACTATGCGATATTATTTACTACATATAACAGTTACGACGGTATTCATGGTGGTGATAAAATTTTTTGCTACGCATATAGATAGCACGTTAAAATCGAAATATTTTTATTGATATCACCAAGTTATCGATATGTAAGGGCTAACAGGCGTTGTTTATTCACAGATCTGCATTGTTAGCTTAAAATTACAACTCTAAACATGCCTAGCGTTCTACAATCTTATTAATATCTACTTTTATTTCTAATTGAGGTAATACGTTAATCACATTAGATTATTTTATCTACTTTAAGGCAGTTTGTTGTCGAGACAACGACACTGTTGTTTTATTAACTAGTTGTGATGAAATTTCAATATAAATAAAAAATGACAAACAATTTTTTACTATATATGAAATAATTAAAACGTAATGTAACTTTCAGTGTTTAATTTTATCATGATGTTAAGTGTCAGCGTAAGATTGAATTGAAGTGAATTAGGTAGAAAAATTAAAGTTATATGTGAGATATGGAAAGAACAAACAAATTTACGCATTTACATGCGAAGAAGAGGGAGGCGTCCGGTACTCTCACTCACTATATGTATGCCATGTAGATATTAAAGCTTACTAGCTTCAATATTTACAAATTCGTGGTACTCCACGGACGAGCCAGTCTGATTATGAGGCTTTTATACTTTAGACAACTATAATAATATAAAATAATGAAATTTTCATCAATTTTAAGCTAATTAATTTGATGTAACTATTAAAGGACCCCAACATAAAGTTCCATAACTCTTTTATGTAAGTCCATATTTGGTTTACTTATAAAACTTAGCTAAAAGAATAATGTTTAATAGAAGAATATTTAATGAAGTAATTGTAGAATCATTTAGACAGTTTGAAGTTGCAGTTTTAAAACTATTTTCAATCTAATCAAAAAACTTGACAATTACAATCCACTTTGTCAAGCAATATTTTAACATCGACGCTGTTTCTAGATTACTTATTTTTTGTCTTTTTATAAAATTAGTACAACGTTATATTTTATTGTGTATTGTGCGTTTGTGTAAGGCATATTAGACAAATATTCTATTTTTATGACTTATAATCGTAATCATAATTAATTTACACTAAATTACATTTCTTATTTGCTAATAATTTTAAACATATTTTAAATGTACGGTGACAAATATAATACAAGGGAAGAATTATCAGATTATTTAAGACAACCATTGTATCGAATCAAGTAACACAATCAATTAACGAGGCTGAATTACATTCAGAAGAAAGCGTTTAATATTTTAAAGTGCACTAGTTATTAATATTGTGATAACATTAAATTTTTAACATAGAGTGCATGGAAATGTAGTTACTTTGGCTGAAATACTTGCTAAAATACAGTATTATAATACATCAAAACGTTTCTTATGACTTAACCAGAACTTTAAACTTGGTTACAAAACTCACTATAATGTAATATTTAAAATAAACTTTAATTTATAGCAAAATGTTAGATGATATTAGTTATTTGTTATCAATTTAATATCTAAAGTCTAGCAGTTACTAACAGAATACTTAAAGTCGTTTTGTATAATATTAAAAATATTATATATTACACAATAAACAATGTGTTATGTTTAATATAACTACTTACATGTCAAGCATTATTCGACCCGACCTCAAATAATTTCAATTGCTTGTTGTTTCTCTTGAATGGTATTAAGAGTTATATAATTTCTTTTAATTGTAAAAAAATACAAAAGGGACTACGGCTTTCATGATTAAATAAGTTGCCAATTTTTAGACCGAAAATATTGCTCAAAAGATTCATAATTAATCCTCTTGTCGCAATAATAAACTCTTGGTTAACAAAATTGCAATATATTTCATACTATGCTAACCATTTAAATGCAGATTAATCGAATCAAGAGTTTTTTTTGTTTACTTTTCTTTTTTCCCATATCTCTATTTATTTTCCTATTTATGGTAGCCAATAAAAATCTTTTTAACATATTTTATATAAAAATACAATTATATATTAATCATAATCCTATTTTATATGTGATTGGAAGAATTAATGTGATGTAATATCCTATACCTTATGTTATGTGATACTTTATTTATTACTCTTGCAATGTTTCACCTAGCAGCGATATACTTTTACTCCACCTACTTGTACTATACTAGTATTTGAATGCATCAATATTTTTTAAAAGAAAATATTACATTTTCGATAAAAAAAAATATTAAATCGCCATAATGAAAATAATTTTTTAACCATTGGGAGTAAAACTTTCCATAGTTCATAAATATAATTTAAAATATTGTATCGATAATTTTAAAAACAAAATTATAAGATAAAAAATTAAAAATAGTTGTAATAAATAAAAATATGAATGGCTTAAATAGGCAAATAGTCATCAAGGAGAAAATGTTTCCCTTTAATTAAAAAAATTGGAATGAATCTATAAAACTTGATTTAAATAACAGTTTCTAAAAAAAATAGACAGCAGATAAAGTTAGATCCTTTTCTGGTGTCTTAAAAAAAAGAAAAATAAGTTTATTCTTTTAACGTATCCGAGAGTAGTTCATTTTGATAATGTTAATTTAATTTTTGTTTGTTATTCTTAATAAACTAATAAATGAAATAACTTATATTAACTTGACACTTTAACAAGTTAAAATTAATACTTTTAATAACTTATATTTTTATGAATATTTTGTGCAATATTTCACTTTCATTTCTCCTTAAATATTATTTCTCACTATTTTATTTAGCGTCTATTTAACGTGCCTTCTCGTAGTCCTTAATAATATTATATAAAAACTAAACTTTAATATCAATCTATATCTAACTTTTTATACAATATGCAACCAACTAAATATACTAAGTTCCTTTATCCCTATTTTGAATATTCCTCATAAGATGGTTTATTTAATTCACTAGATTTCATTGGTAGATATCAGCTTGTACCATAGGTTTTACTAGTAGCTAATATACAGAATTACGCTACTAGCGGCAGTGACGATTTGAACCTGGTTCAATTGAACCCATTTATCTACATTAACATGGAAAATTAAGGAGCACAAATAAAGGTATACTCTATTCGTGATCGCGAACCGTCGTCTCTGATATCCGATCTCCTGCGTCTCAGACAATGGAGGAAAACTGTTGTTGATAAAGGAAATGCTTGTGGTGGAGCGCAGGAATCACAATTTGTTGTTTGACCATTACTAGATCTATTAAAAGTTTGCTACTCTGATTCCCACATGTAATGCCCGTTCATTTAAGTATTTTCCTAAATCAACAACACGGATTCTAATGCTCAATATGTGGGTCCACTATAAGAGCAATCCGATTAGAAGAAAAAAAACTTAATTCTTAAAGTAATTAAGCCTGCATCTACCACTAATGAATATTTGAAAGTTTTGCGTTATTTATAGATAAACAATCATGTAATGAATAATAGTTTGAGACTAGAGAAGCACAGATGAGATTTTTGATGAAAAAATTACTTCTTAAAAGATTAATATATATAAAGAGCATCATATTTATTCAGGCACTTCATCTCGTATTTTATATTTTGATGTAATAACCTATTCTTATTTACTAAGATATTGAGGTATTTGTTTAATTTTTAAGTTAGATATTCGGCACTTTGTATTTAAGGCAACAACAATTTACTTAATATATGCTATAACTTTGTATTTTTGTAGCTTATTTACTGTAACGAGGTTAAATTGGCAGTTTATTTTATTTTAATATTACCTTTAATAGGAAAAAAATATTTATTTGAAGATAGTAAATATCTATTTACTTAAATATTTTAAAATTGTAATGGGAAAAAACGAAAGCAATTTACGATGCAAACATTATAAAAACAACATTGAAATATTTTATTTTTTAAACTAAACCTAATATCCGTGATTCGTGTTGTAACTTCTCAAAAATGTTACATACTGTATTACACAACGACAAGTGTTCGAGTTATTGAGGAACTTTACATCTTATAACATTAAATTACTTATTCAATGCAAAATCCTCACCTGTGCTAACTCTAGTGTAAAATACCTTGTATTATACTTTATTGCTTTGATTTGTAATGTGTTTTTGAATTATTCCACCATTATTTATCGTCTATATAAAAATGTAAAAATCATGGATGTCAAAGAGATAAATAACGTATAAATGAAAACCAGACAAGACATGCAAGTTTTGATATTAAGCATAGGTATTTTGAAATTAAGGATAGGTAATTGAATAGGTTTGCGAGAATCTGCAATTGGAAAACAATAACGACAAGCAGGAGTGAAATGAATGCCATGACATTTATGATACAAAAAGGAAGTTGCAAAAAATGACAAGTTCAACGAAAGTATATACATATTCTACAAATGAATAGTTAAGGCAATTTGAGCATTAGATTACCCATAGTTACAGTGTCCACTCATTTATACCATGAAAATAATAATTTGAAGGTAGAAGTGATAAATATTTTTTAATATAAAGGCCGATTCAAGCAACTTATAATAAAATATAATTTATCTGATACTTTAACAGTAAGCCTAATTAGATCTTTTAATTTTTCAACAAACTATCTCGTTGTTAGTTTTTATTTTTTCTTTATATTCGTATGACTCTTTAACCCTAAGATAACTTATTATTAGTACGGTTAAGTATTTCTATAAAATGTTTCTTATATAAGCAATTTTAAGTCTTTTTAGTTTAAAACTGTATCATTTTTCAGTGTAAATTTTCAGATCTTTCTGACTTTCAGAACTATCTCTCTGATAGTCTAACAGTTCTAACTTAATTTTACTAGATTTTTCCTAAGTCTACTGAACGGTCAATAGCCTCTGTATTAAAATTATAAATATATAACATTAGCTATCTATATTTATCACAGCTTTTTGTTTCTCGTCAGTAGGCAGGCGATAAGTATACGCCTTGTCTACTGATGGGCCGGGGTCACCGGTCATGTTGGACATTTGAAATTTGAATTCCACGTTTCAAATTATTACACTTTACATGGTAAAAAAATAAGTGGATTTTAAGGAAAAGACCCTCTATTAGTCTTCTTCCAGAAGTACCAGATCGTCAGCCACGACGTCAGAAACGTGTAGATAAATGATCCAGTACATTAGATTAAAGCACACGAAACAAACCGGAAAGACGATACGAGAGTACTTATCTATGTCTGATGGTGTCATACCAAGAAGTTTGCTTATATCCTGTAAAAAAAATATAACGTTAAATATTATACCAAACAGAAAAATTTATTTCATAATTGTTTGTGTGTTTATTATACTCTGCTTAGAATGTATTTGAATAATCGAGCTTATCCTTAAATCTCAACGACTAAACTTGTCTGGCGTTAGAAATATGCAATATAGTATTTTTGCGTTTCAATAAAAAGTAGTTTTTAAATCAGTCTCAAAAAAAATACAACTTTATTAATTATAACATCACCTTCCCTGGATGTAAAATGTGTGAATGTGGCCCTGGGTTATCTTCTTCGACACCTCTTCCACCTCCATTTATAGTATTTTCCAAAGTTCCGCCTTTTGAATGAACTTTAGGATCATGCACTTTAAAGCGAACTTCCTGCAGAATAACATTAATTCACATTAATAATTTTATTTTCACCACTAGTCTCTATTTAATTCTACAAAGTGAATCAAACCTTCTACCACAAATTACCACGTTATTAAAGAAGTGCAAGGAACTATTAAAATAAAATAAGAATATTTAAAATAGCGTACTGAGGGTCTACCCGGTGGGCATCTTCCCAGAGTCCCCAGTTTAGAAAGAGTATGTGGGTCTCCTATGGAAGGACAGTCAACGGGCAATTTCTTCTCTGATGCAATTTTTTGAATCGCTACAAATCTTTGCTTTCTCATTTGTATTCGTTTAGCCATATATCCCACCGTCGCATATTCTGAGAATAAAAAGAAATCTTGTATTTGAGTTTTTATAACCTTAAAATAAAAAAAATAACTATTAATTGTAATTTTATGTTCTGAAATAATATCATGAATAAATTTTAAGTAATTACATTTATAGCCAATAAATAAATAAATGGACTTCGAACCTTTGTCGATATAAAATTGGTTTCCTCTTCGTTATTAACCAATTTGTCCTAAATTGCTACCATTTAAGTCTATTTAGTGCCAGATACCTACCTATAATATATTTAGCCGATATTTTTTAACAACTAGTACGTTTCTTTATATATTTTTTCCTTTTCTTGTCATGTTTTTATGAAACGAAATTCTTAGTTTTCTTTATTCAATAGGTTTAATATGCGTTTTTTTAAGAACGTTATGACTGGTATTGTGGAATAATTTGCCAAAAGTAACGTGTTATGGGAGGTTTTGAACAGTTATATCATTGTGATATGTACATATTACGACATCAAAACTATTTGGATGTGTGTTTAAAAATAATATTTTATAGCTTGTTATATTTTCAGATAATTTATTCAGGTCGTTCTCATATAGAAAGATACAAGTCAGACCAAACCCAAGATTTTTTGGGTTTCGTTACTAAAATAGAGATTTTTTTATTTCGGGATTTCTCGAGGCTCTCTATTTTACCGTTCCATTTAGTTTTCACAAATAACTTATATAATTACATTATTTTATTGGTCCTAAATATATATTTTTTTATTTATAATAAAAAGTTCGATGAAATAAAGGAGAAATTATTTAGTTTTCGAAAAATATTCAGTATGGTTTCAGTGTGATTAATTCGAACTACATATTTCATTCATGTTCGTGTATTAACATTTTTTAAAAGATGTGTTTTTTGTTTCGTGTGTATTTTAATATTTCATTGACATTCTTATAGTCAAGTGTAGGTATACATTTTTACTCTATGTAATTCTCTGATCATAACTAATCAACCGAAACCTTTTTATTTTTTTTGAGACTGTTTCCATTCCACCTTACCCGTCTCTACCGTCAACAATCTCGTGATCGTCTTTGTATACTCATGGAAAGTATTCGTGTAAACCGGAGGTCTTTTAATTGATTAAAACGAATATATTTTTATACATATTTATATGAACACATCAGTGGAAATCGAGTTTATATAACAGGGTTGTCGATGTCCGATATAATAATATTCGATAGGATATAAAATGGTGGTAATATGTATATCGTATCATATATTTATTGTGTCTATTTTCGCCTCAATTAGTTTCTATTAAGATATTTTATATATTATGTTTAATATTTAATAGGTTTTTCATAATATGTGGACATCGTCACCCCTGCTCCGAGTCCTATGCATCCTCGCTACATATAACGGTAGCATATATATTCAATTTGTAATGTAAATCATTCTAAATTATTATCAATAAAATAATTATTCCTGAATCTGAATGAATAATTGTTCTTTAGGCTCTTTCTTCTTGAGTTGTTTTTTTGCAATCTAAAGACGCTAGTGATGCAATTTTTCAAGCTAAAATACGAATGTGACTATTTTTTTCATTTATGTATAGGAAATTAGACTTTAGTTAAAAATTAGACTGATTTTTATTGTTATCATTTTGCTCGAGCAGTATTTGTTAAGGCAATTTAGGCTTCAGCTTACTGTAGTTTATTTTATAATACTGAAATTCTCGTCTAAAAAAAACATTCCAACAAATAATTAATATACCGTGTAGAAATATAGTACCGTATAGTTATTATTATTTGTAGGAGGGAACAATGAGAATTCATAATTTTTGTACACATTTGCAGTGACACATTTCTTTGCATTAGAGTAAAATTACCTAATAAACTAGCGAAGACCATCACGAAACAAGTTCCCAGGTAGACGTCAATTGACTTCACATATGATATCTTGGGGAGTGCAGCGTTTGTTGAAGACATAAGCGTAGTCATAGTCAACACAGTTGTTACGCCCAGAGCTACTCGTGCAGGAGTGGCATTTCGGTTTAGCCAAAAAGACACCCATGATATAATAACTATTAAACCAGACGGAATATAAATTTGAATCAAGTAGTATCCCATTGATCGAACAAATTGTATTTCACAGGCCAATCTTGAATAATTTCCTGTAACAGTTTTATAAATATTTAAATTCTTTTTATACAAAATATGTTTCTTTTCATAACCACCTGAAGTTGTTTGTACTTGAATTCTTAACAGTTTACTCTTTCAACATCAATCGTACATTATTTTAATATTACTAAAACACACAATTCAGTGTTTTTTGTGCAAAAATACGAAAGCAGGACGTGAAAAGAGTCGTGGCTGTTTATGTTCAGTGTTTCACTTTCGATCTATTTACGTTCTTTGATGTCCAATTACTAATATCCCCGATTTAAGTACCTGTCGTAAGTGAGATCTCCATAGCTCGTTGACGATGACCAAGAACCTTGAACTGCGGAAGCGACACCTCGCTCGAAACTCCAACAGAGTTTGGTCCTTCGTTCCATTTGTATCGGATGTCCCGCATGGTGTAGCCGACTGTGCGCAGCGGATACATAAATGAAACAACCCCAGGCCCATCGCAGTGGGTTTTATAACTCGAGTCTTTATTCGGTTGGGGTAAGAGCGGGGAGTCGCGTTTTTGGTTGTCGCGTCTATTCGTGCGTTTGTTATATTTTATTTAGCATGTGTGCTTGTGTCGCGGTATCGAACGTCTGCACACGGGCTGAGGGAGACGGGGTCGGATGCAGAGCGTGGATAGGCAATGCTTACACAGCAAACTTGGCAAACAGATTACCTGTCGTGAGAGTTACAACAGTAGCACGCTGACGGTGTCCTAGAACACGAAACTGCGGTAGCTGCACCTCGTTGCTCATGCCGACACTCATAAGTCCGTCCTTCCAATGGTACCGAATGTCTCTCATGGTGTACCCGACTCCGGAGACATGCCAAACACACAGAACGCTATCACTTACGCTGCGAAGCATCATGTTTTCTTCACGGTGATGACGATGGAACACACGGGTACTAATGGCCAGACTTAACTGAGCCGAATCGTATGATTCTGTTAACCTCGTAATGGCTCAATATGGATGATAGAAAAATAGAAATCTACTCATTCTACATTCTTAGTGATGGCAATATAAATTGTATTAATAAAAAAGTAAGAAAAACGATATTCTAAATACATTTTATGCATACATTTATATATAATGTGTAAATTAAGGCAACTAAATAAATTATCATGCATTTCGGAAGAGGCGTTATTGTTTAAAGCTTCCTTATAATCAAAGAATTATTCAATATCTGTGATCATAAGTTACAAGAGGTAAGTGCTTCGTATTTTTTAGCGGGTGCGGATGAGGGTGTAGAAGTAAGAGGGTGCAGTTAAGTGCGCCCGTGCAAGTTTGTGGGGTCGAATGCGTGTGCTCTGTATCTGCGACAAGGCTTTCGGTGGTTGCAAACTTCGCGACCTCCGTACCCCGCCTCCTTCGCCCAGCTATCGCAGTATCGATGTCTTACAATCATTTTTTTCGCATAATGCTCGTAAGGCTTACTATTTTAAGAGTCTGCCTTCTGCGGGTGCTGTATGCGAGAAGGAGACATTCCGATTTATGAAAACACGAGGGTAATCACAGCACGTGTCGGCGATAAGTTGAACGCTTGTGCTCACAAGGTATCCCTGAGTAGCCTCTGTGATACAAGAAAGTGATCACAACACAGTTTAGGTAAGCCTAGTGATATTTTGCATTGTGTAAATTATTAAACCGATGATTGCTTTTGGTGAAAACACGAAAATCTTTCAAAAATTGTTTTAAATTATTTTTCTATCATCTTGAAAAGTCATAACGCTCATCATTTTTCTAATTTTGACATGGTTAAATAGTGCGTGATGCCCGTTCCACCTTCAATATATTCATTGCACTTTAAACCACTTTTTTTTACATTGACACTATACATGTTACAAGAAGCGTGCTTAGAGATTCACGATTTAGTAGCGTATAAAAATTAATATTAATAAATTGCATTTTAAGATTAAATTAATCTTGTGTTATTTGCATAAATATGGGATTTTTATGGATATACTGTATAGGAGGATACTTACAACTCTCTATTTCAATGTGACAGAGCTGTCTGTCCATAGGAAAATACTGAAGATTCATAGGGCATGATGCGGTTATAGTTAATCTGAAAATGTTTTGACATTGAAACTAATTTGTCCTTAGTTATAACAGGGTATTGACAAAAGAGAACAGTTATTTCTTTCCAATTACCTACTTCATTATATTTTACCTGATACTTCTAGTGATTGATCCCGAATAATGAATGCGTATAAATTCGTTGCTTGTGGTTGCTATATGAAAATATGATTGTTTTTCGTTTACAAAAAATGTGTCAGGTACCCAAATATTTTTTATAAATTCTGAACCAACAGACAGAGTTTCTACACCTGGTCGTTTTTTATAAGCCAAACGTGGGTCGGTCCAAAATTGTCTGAAGTAAAAATCCAGTGTGAAATCCTGCAGAACAAAAATGTTAAAAATTATGATAGATATCACTTTGACAATAAATAACAATTTATAAATCTCACTCTCATCAGAAGTGTGTTTTCAAATAAAGGGAAAATATTTAGATGAAAGCTTTTTTATAATTTAGAAATAAAATAATGTGAATAAAATTAAAAAGGGGAAATTATACAACACAACTAATTTTAATTAAACATTTAATACGGCATGCTTTTGTAATGTTTTATGGTGATAGATAAAGGGGACTGAAACCATCGACTGGTCAGTAATGTTATAAGTAGTGTTGATATTTGTGTTTTGGTCAGTGTTTTATAAGTTATTTTACTAAAATATATTAAAAGACGGCTTCTATGACGAGTAATTAGTGAAAAAGGTGTAAAATTAAAGTGCGGTGTGGTGACATAAAGCCTACGAAGAAGTGAGGTCAAATGAGTGCTCATTGGTGGGACAGGGCGAGGTGAGTGGGTGGTGGCACAGGCTGGCACCCACGGCTCGATAAAGGCAATATTGTTATACAAGCTAATAAGCCAATAAATACACAAATTGCCTCATATTTAAAATTCTGTAAAGTTATATAACAAATCGTAACATTTTATATCTCGTGTCGTTCGAGTTTACTAGCGAGACAGCGTCCCGTGGCCATGGGTCACGTCTTATTGTGACCTTTTCAGCTTTGATTTGGTTTCCACTTTAAGGATTTTTCACCATAACGCCTAACAGCTCATAAAAAAATCTTTTTGGAAGACCGGATGTATGCCATAAGTCTTGTTTGATACAAAGGATAAATTGTTTAGACTTTAAAGCGATTTAAAAAATATAAACCTTATACAAAACCGGTATTCCAAATGGATGGAGAGCTTGAATAGTAACGATAACTCAGGCAATTTCAGTTGATACACACATATACATATAAACATCAATCTACAAAATGGTGACCAACAAACGTACAGTTGTCGCAAATCCATAGAATATTTCATGAACACCATAGTTTAACAGCATACCACGTAGTCTTGATATAAAAATCAACGAACGATCTAAAACGAAGTGCTGATGTACTTCCTTGACGAATGGTTCTGTCAATATATTCTTTAAAAGAGAAACCAACAACCATTGTGAAGTGGATCTAAAGCAAATAAAGAAGATACCATCAAAGACAGAAAAAGCTAACATCACCACTTCGAATTAAAACGATAGAATTCTCTTTGGAATTACGAGAACTGCTGGACACACAACCTGATAACTGATACGATTAAACGAATTGCCTTTCTTATTATGGCTCCCATATACAAAATTTGAGGAACTCGTGAGTTAAAAGATCATATATACATAATAAGAAAGCAACTTTGCAATCAAAGGCGTTTTGCTCCACGAAACGCAGACATGCTCGCAGCCTCGTATCTGGGGCTGCTCGGTCATTACAGCGTTAGCTGTAAGGACCGAGACAAGCGTGAGCTGAAAATAGCGAGTACCATGAGCACTTCGGAGACTGAGCTGATAGAGAGCACATACATGGTGACGCCCACCTCCACTGGCGGACCTGCAATCAAGTCCAATCGTAAGTTGAGCGTGCGCCTCACGTCGTGAAAACCAAACCACAGGTTCTGACGTGCCCCATCGCCGGAGCGGGACGCAGGGCGCTGGGAGCGTGCAGTAATTGACAAACGCAACGAACACAATCACACCGATGGGCGCCTACAACGATCGAACCGTGGACACGGGTGCTACAATGAACGGTAATGCTGGTGAACGTACTAAAGGACAATCTTGCTATGTATGCGCTGTGTCTTTAATATTGCTTTGAAATTAAGATACCATTTTGACTTCAGACAGAGAGCTGATGGAGAGCACGTACATGGTAACGCCCACTTCCACGGGTGGTCCTGAAAACGACACAATTAACAAATGACAGGTAGTAGTTTTCTATGTTGTCTGTAACCGGCACGGAGCTTACTGAAATAATAGTGGTTGAAGACTTTAGATAGAGTCAACTTATCTAGTTGCAAAGTGAAATTGTATGCTAAACAAATGAAATCGTAATATTTTGTAACAAGACCATAAATTTGTTTTGCGAAACACAAATATACATTGTGATTCATATAATGTTTAATGAAATAATTGTCCCTGTAAATAAAAATTAAAATAAGCAATGAGAAGTTAACTAAAACTACGCCTTGACATAAGCTTATTGATAATTATAATATTTTATAAAAAAAACCAACCAACTTTGTGCTTTAAAAATATTTACTGCATTCCAGTTTGTTTTTTGATTTTAACTTTAGTTATAAAATATAAGTTCAATAATTTTTTTACTATAATAAAAAAATTGTTTACTCATTTCATGTATTTCATAAGCACATCGTAGCATTATCAGAAGTTTGGGGTTTAATAATGTAACCATAGGTTTTTAAAATATCCTATGTATATAATTTTGTATTCCATTATTTCATTTTTATTTGTCTTACATATCTAGATTTTATATTAAACCAGATATAGTTTCAATCAGTCCTATAAATCTAATTACAGTAAAATCTGTGTACATACAAAGCTATATCGAATTATTAAAAAGTTCATCTTAGTAGGATTCCATGTTGCAACTTTCCGCGATTCAAATCAGATTCCATGAATATAAAACATCTCTAATAAATTTTGTTATTCGGCGCGAAGGTAAACATTTAAAATTGTAGCGGTTGTGATATAACAGGAAAGATAATTAAAAGGATTTATATGGAATAAAATTTTGGTGCGTCTGTTTTTAGGTAAATGTTGTTTAGAATGAAATATGTACACTTCCTTATTCATAGAGTTATATTTTGTGACAAATTATGTTTTGTTGTATGGAAAATGTTAAATGTGATAAACATGAACATGCCCTGATTATGTGTTTGGTTGTATGAATGCAATAACATTAAATAACTGCTCCACAGCTTTTTGGCACGTAATTTATTAAGTTATTAATTTAGAAGAGAGTTTTACATTTTTAATTATAAAAAGTTAACCTCTAATACTTTCTTTTCATTTTGCCAATAAATTTTTACATAATTTGTCAAAAAGTTGAGGCGATTTGTATGCGACAAACATTAAAACACATGGAGGAAATATGATTGCCTATTAAATATAATGAACAGAACAGGGGATTTTATCTGATTATTTATGTATATGTATATACACATATACATGAGAGTGTTCACTAAAATGGATGGTGATAGAAAAGTATCACTAACCTCCATAGTTTGGCCTTACTCTTTTGTCGTAACTTATGCTAAATGAATCTAATATAGCTGATATATTGACATCTCCAAACATGCCTCCACCGCCAACACCCCTGTAACAAATGAAAACAACCGATAAATTTATAAAAACTATTTATTTTGTACCTACATCTAATTCATATAATAATAAGGTTTCATAAAGTCATAAAGAATAATATTTAATGCATTACAATTTTGGATAATTTGCTGTTTAATATATAATAAATTTAGTAATTATTTCTAACTATAACAATAGGAAGCTATAGTCAAAACTGTTTTTAGTAAGTATTTCTGGCACATACAATTATAATTCTTTTTAATAAATGACATAAAATAAATAATATTTCATTTAATAATTAATAAATTTCCTTAACAGAATTTCATTTGTAAGATGACTGGTAATATTTTTTATTTATTTCGAAAAATTTGTTACACTCGTTGCAAAGAGTTAATTTTTTAATTTTTTATTTTTTAAATTTACTTTTTGTTTTATGAATTAAAATGTCATATAAGCTTTAAGCTAAATTATAAATGGGTGTTTACTTATAAAATATTTCAAGGGCCTGATAAAAATTACAATGCTATTACTGTCCAAGCTTACGAATCATAACCTTTGATTATGATCGTGTTTTTATTTCTTGTTATTGCTTCTTATGCCTATCATATCCATATCGTATTTCTTAAAACTTATAATTGGCTTTATTTATTATAACAAATGTATGTACTACTTATACTTATAAATATAAAAAAAATCATACAAAACTGCTACTAATATTTGTCAAAATAAAGTATTCACACGATTTAAGGGAAATGGTTTCATAATGAACTTTAATAACGTTATCCTACTTCAAAATAATGTAATATTTATTTCATCCATCGCCAAACTTGGCCATTGTAAGTTTTTATAATATCTCTGCAAGAATCCGGCCTTACCTTTTAATTTCCGTTATTTAAGTGGTCTACATCATCGGACTCAAAAGTGTTTCCAAAAGTAGTGACAAACAAAAGGTAAAGCTAAAGGCTCCCAACTTCTGGACTTAAAGTTTCTGCTTAAGCAATTCTACATTCAGCTGTTCATAGCCTATTAAAGAAAATTATCGAAAAATTGAAGAAGTGTAAGATATGTAGTATAACGGTTGGTTAATTAATGATTTCATTGATTAGACTTGATAATATAGCATGAATACGAATAATTTCAATTATGTTATTTGAGATGCATGATCGTAAAATATTTATATGGTAGAACAAAGAAAATGTTAAAATAATTACTTATCAATAAAAAAAGCGGCCACATATCTTTTGTATGATACCGATTAACCGGATACAATTACTTATATGCGAGACCGTATAAGACACGACCGGCATGCAGAATACATATCAATGAAGAATGTGTAGTTAGATAGGTAGAAACTACAGAGCTCTTTGTTCAATATCTTTATAAAATCAGGATTTTTGATAGCTTTCATTGTGTTAAAATAGTTGATGAAAGCTTTGTCCACAAAGAAACTCTTACAATTTCCACGAGCAAAATGTATATTTACAAATCACCTTTAGACTCCTGTTAAAAAATTTCATATCACAAACCCATTTTAATCCTAGAATATATTTCAAACATATACATGTATAGATGTTCATATATACGAATGTAAGGATGTTCAGATGTACCGACGTGCCTAAGTACCGCTATACCGATGTACCTATGTACCCATGTACCGAAGTACCGATGTACCGAAATACCGATGTACCGAAGTACTGATGTACCTAAGTACCGATGTACCGAAGTGCCGATGTACCGAAGTACTAATGTACCTAAGTACCGAAGTGCCGATGTACCTATGTACCGAAGTGCCGATGTACCGATGTACCGAAGTGCCAATGTACCGAAGTACCGAAAGTATTAAACTTTTGCTATTTATTGTAGAACGAATATGAAATTTAAGAAGAGATAAAAGATTTGAAGGCCAGATTTGTGATATGAAGTTTGTAGAGTATTGTCTGTAAGTTTAGGTCAGTTAATTTTTATTTTTCATTATTATATTGTATAATTATTTTATGTCATTATTTATTTATTTATTTATATGTTATAAACCTTAAAACACAAACTAAAAGTAGTTTTATACAAAAAAAAGTTAGGTACCTAATGGTATTTTTTTTTTTGTTACTTTGACCGATAATCGCAATAAATATCATTTAGGTACAATATAAGGGAGTCATATGTAATTTAAAGAATCAAAAAGTTATAAAAATAATAAACAATTAAAATAGTATACTATATACCCATGGATTATGTATATTATATCAACTTTAATCATATGTTAGATAATTCATAATTTGTTTTAACATTTTTCCTTTTTACCGTTACTTACTCTATCAGAAATTGTTTCATATTTGTTTTCGAAATTAATTATAAACAGCGAGGAAAGTAATTTAATAATAGTACATTATTTACTAAAACGTTTTTGGTTACAACTTTGCAGTCATAATATGCCGTGGCGATTTAAAAAAGGGTGCTAGAAATAAAATATAAATTATGAAAGATAAGCGTTTGCATATTGAGTAATTAGTTCTGGAGTACTATTATTATAAATTTAATTTTAAAATAAACGTGCAAAACGTAAATTAATTATTTATTACTAGATATAACTCCAGTTTTTTTGCAGAGCTGGTATTCCAATTGCAAAAGCGAGAAGCACGGCACAAGAAAAAATAACAATAAAATAGTTTATACGCTTTTTTATTTTACAGGTCGCTAGCATAACAGTTTATTAAAGCGCAAACTAAAGGACCATAGGTATCAAGTAAAATTAAATGTTTTTGGTTTTTTAACTTATTGGTGAAATAAAACAAACATTTGACTATTTATCACATTTCATTTACTTACGCGACATTTTCAGCTTGTGGAAGAAATGCGGCCGCGAAAGCTATAAGAATGGGCCCGCCCTTAGAGCGGCCGCTCATGGCGCGTGTGTTAGTCTCGTGAAGGCACTGAAGGTAACCACAAGGACGTGCTACCGAGACGTGTTTGTCCTGCCAGCTGAAATTTAGGTCATCGATTTTGGTGACCCGGATACCAGACGGTACCCAACGATAATGGCGATACCTTGCGAGATAAACATATAACTTGACAAAAACGCGTTATTATAGATAAATGCCATCTATCTTAAGCCAAAAGAAACTTTCAGGCGTGTAATTATTGAAACAAAATCAATGCGTAATATTTTTTTAATGTGAAGACAAATGCTATAAAATATTATGTGAACAAGATTGAATTTTTTTTTAGCTTATTATTTAACTAAAACATAAAATCCTCCCTTATAGTAAACTAACACTACATGCCCTCTAAATATCCAGCTTGGAAACTATATTTAGTTACATCACCTGCCGCGGTATTTATACATACAAACAGTTTCTGGATTTTCCGCTAGATAGATCAAAAATTTAATTTTGTGTACCATATTTCCTTTTTTATGGATAATTTAAGGACTATAATAATAAAGGTAACTTTTTTTCTTCTTATACGGAAAATAATATTTATATTTTGAAAACAAATGTATTATTTAAAGCAAACATAACTAAAATTTTATTTTTAACCACAAAATATGTGATTTTCAGTGATAATATATTCAAATATATTAAATTATTTTGTCGTTTCAGGGAATTTAGCATTGATAACCATAGATAAAATCTGTAATTATTCTTTTTGTGTATGAAGCCATGGTATAAAAAATTAGTCTTCAATGTATGTAACTGTAATATACTTCTCAACAAGAATTACGCACAAATTCCGTAGCACCTTAAGATACATGTTATAATCTTAGTTTTTTAAATAGCTACTTATAGCCATGACAGTGGGTTTTTTGAAGGTCGACTTAGGTAATCTGATACTTTGGTGTTCAAAAAAAACAGAAGATAGAAAAACAACAATAACAAACGGTTTCATTGTGAAGTATGCAATATTGAGAGTTGAAGACGGAGAAATTGTTTATGTTGAAATATTCGTTTTTACTTTAAATGATAACTTATTAGTTGCTTCATCAAGCAGTACTTGCAGTAACATCCACTTGAAAATGAAAGACAAGACAATTAAATTTGGTCTTAGTATAATGAGAAGGCTGCTCATGTAAAAATTGAAAATGGCAAAATATGTAGATGTTTTCAAAAATTAGACAAGTTTAAATAATATTAACATGCAAAAAAATGATATATTCGGATTTTAATTTAAAGATTATTACTATTTTAAAATTAAATCGATCCAATTATTTTTTCCTATCAACAAGGAAGACATAATAGCAGACGTAAAGATATTTTTTTTTATATTTACTGGCTACAAGTATTTGCAAGAGTTATGAAATCAATATTCGTACAATTTGTTTACCTTTATCAGTGACGGATGAAACATTCGTACATGTAATAAAAAAAAAATATTTCAAAACTGTCCAGTTTTATATTTTTTTTCAGTCCCATAAAATAAAATGTACCTATCTAATTTATATCACTGACTTAACAGCTAATATCAACATCTGATGTGCTCAAAGGGCTGTCAATATAAGACTAAACTAAAACATAAAATAATACACAATTTAAACTCACGCACACATACTCAGACACTGACAACAGGAAAGCCAGACGCTCACTGCCACTCTCTTCATATTGTGTGCTGTAGGCATTTTACATCTTTTTTTTAATTGAAATTTTTCCTTAGTGTTTATAAGTTTTCTTAATTTATAAGATCAAATGAAATAGCATTTTAACATCAAAATTTTAATAGAATGAAATATTATAATCGTTTACAAACAAACATGATGGCAGTGCTAATAGTGTATTAACTTATTTTCCCTTAAATATTACATTGCCTATTAAGTTAAAATAATAAGTTTATTATTACATTGAAGGTGTAATATTCACTACCCTATGATATTAAATCTGAAATAAGAACATTGTTATATCTCACATCAACCTTTCCTTAAAAGAAATTATTGTAGATGTACTTAAATAAATGCGTTTTGAAATAGTTAGATTCATTAAGCCAAGTAGATGATATAGTGGGGTCTAGCACAGTGCTCGGACCAAGACAGAAGCTTCGGTTTTAGCACGATAAACACCATTGAGTTATATATTCAGCGTTACATAAAAAAAACTACTTATTTGAAGTTGGTTAATTTACATAGGATTTAGAACTTTGTCGTTAAAGGTGGATAAAAGTTTCCAACGGCAATGTTAATTTTCTTTCTATATATAACTTAACGATTAATTAAAGGAAACTTTTGGGTATTTTCGTGGGTTCTGAGTTTGTATTTATTTATTAAATTATTGCAATTCATTATAGGACAATAAGATTTATATCAAGACTTGTATTTATTCGTTTCGCTGTTGTTTATATCATTGAGTATCAAATATAAGATGATTATTTTTTTATATTGTACCTTAAATTCAATTCTAAATAAGTATAGTGCTTTAAAACAACACGTGTACTTACGTAATCGAAATATATATTATGATGAAATTATATATATTGTAAATATTAATATAGGATAAATAAATCTTCCTTGACTAACATTATTTAAGATACATCTACAATGCATTTATTTAAATAAAAAAAAAATGTCCGTATAATAATAACGTTGAGACCAATAATTATGTATCACATGTTACAAAATTAAAAAATAATATTAAGTCACAAAACTAATACGTGATGTGAATTGTGTTGTCATCTTTATGTCTCAAATTGTTGTTTTATATTATTTTTATAACCTTATTTGAAATTTATATTTAATTCTACTACACTTAAAAGCACAAGCAAAGTGAATATAATTTATTAAGAGAACAATAATTAATTTTATTAGTAAGCATAAATAATTATTCTAACCTTACTTTGTAATGATAGGTTCCTTATTGATAAATTAGATATTTTTAACATATTAATAGCAAAAAAAAATAAATAAGCTAGCCAAAATTACGTCCTTATATCAAAATGTGTGAGAATAGCTACATATTCCTTTTACATACTTTTGTTATTATTGTTATATTTAAGTGCACATATTCTTTTTTATATTTCTGACATACAATTCATATAAAGTATTTAGAAAAATTTAGTAAATCTAATTTAAAACTACATGATTCAATACTAAAATAATATATGTTGTTTTAAAAAACAAAAAAGTTTTCATAAGATTGCCAATATTACTAAGTATTATTATAAAAACTTTATTATAATTAAGCATAACCATTGATTATTATCTGAATGTTTTTTTTTTATTATTTTAAAACGATGACTATATGAAGTACATGAGCTAAACATTTAACAAATACTCGCATATTCGTGTTAAATATATTATTATATGCATAAGTAAACAAAGGTACAAAATCACATAAATAATGAAGCATTGTAAGATTTATAATAATATAAGTATTAAAATTACTAACTGCTATCGTCCAAAGAATACAAAAGATTTTACAACATTAAGTGAACTACAGAAATAGTTTTTAAGATATAATGGCCTAAGTAATTTCATTATTATTAAACATTACTATTAAGAAGAAATTATTATTTAAAGATTTTTGCAGCCCAATAGTTGCGTTTATTCGTTACGGTCTTAAGCTCAAATCGTCGCAGAGGCAACAATAAGTACTTTTTGAAAAGTTACTACTTTAAAATAAAAAGTCTTTCGACATTGACTACAAGACTTTAAAAGTTGATAAAGACCAAATTATCGAATTTGTGAATTTGTAGCTGGAATTAAATATAATTATTATTAAATATAATTTACAAAAACACGTTCAAATGAGTAAATTGTTTCATAAAATTTTGTATTGCAATATTCTTCTTAGGGGTTTGAAAAGAACAAAGGAATTATGTATTATTGTCAAAATTTAAATTGAAAAGTTAAAAGCCCTTAATGACAGACCCCTTATCATAAAAATCATATATATAATATCCTTGGATTATTAAAAATTAAAATCGTTATATGATAAATAACATAAAATATTTCAGAAACTTAGAACATACAAGATTTACAGTTGATAGAGATCAACATTGTTAGGTTTGGATAAAGAAGAGCGACGAAGGTTAACGCCACTCTTCTTTGCGGATCAGACATGCGTGAAATTTGCGTGCGCCGTGTCGTCTTGTGAGATTTGAGTCCCAGCAGCGAAGTACTGGAAGCAAACATTAAGCACCAATGTTAATAAATTGTCTTACTTACTTTTCAAAACTGTTTTAGGAGAGTTTTAAATAATAGCTAAAAGAATGAACATTTTTTTACTTTCCCTTTAATGTTTAAATCCATGTATTTTTAAATTATTATTTAAAAACAAATATTAAAATATAATGATTAATTGATAAGGTATTTTTTTCTGTTCACTATGCAAAAAAATTAAATTTCTAAATAAAAGCTAGTGCTGACAACTTTGCTTAAATTAAACATTGTAATGCGTCGGTCAATAGTCAATACAAACCTTGATATATTGTATCTCAGACAATTAAAATCCGTATAATATTTTGCAGTTTTTAAAAGACACACAAGAATACTCACTCACACACAAAGACAGCTTACGTTTTGTAATGTACATATATGTACTGCATAAGTAAATTCTAAGACTGCAATTACATTTATTTTAATCAAATAATATACTTCTATACTTCTCAAAATTATTCTGCTACAAGTGGGAGAACGTGTGACGCGGTTTTCTAATTGGGAGTGGTATAAATTACGCAGGCAAAAAAAAAAGATACAACGTTTGGTAATAGAAATACGTATGCTTATGGTACATGTTTACCACTTATAATGAAAAAAATACCTTTTCACTGAGAGGGTAAACTCGGTATAGTATCTTAAAAAAATTAAAACAATGATTCTGTAGTTAAAAGGTATCGTATTTATTTATAGAACTAATCCAAATAATTGTGATATTAATAATGGATCATCTTTGATAAATTTTCGAATGAATAGACTTTTTCTTATAGTTTATAATAATCTCAGTTACATATTTTTTAAAGTCAAAAAATATACCTTAATATAATTGAGTGAACTGCAAAATTTGTGTTTTTGTTCATGCAACCAAAATATCAATTTTGTTGTATACGAGTATCCACATTCCAGGAATATATAAATGCACGGGAAAGGTTACACGCCACTGTTTTGAACACGAAACATAGGATAACATAAGAAATGAGCTGTATCTTACTCTTTTAATAAAGTTGGAACCTGTGGTAATTGTAATATGTGTTTTAGGGATTAACATTTTAACAGATAATAACTTTCATAGCACTTCATATCACTTACGGAATATTATGTCTAATACATCTTCCGATGTCTATTTCCCATCGTTTCTCTTCCTAGTAAGAAGTCGTTATACTAGGACAAAAAAATATATTTATATTTATTCTCTGTTACTCACTGAATTTTTGTCTTAATACCTTTACCTCAATAAGTGGAAATGGGTTCATATGTAATGAAATTTTACTATTACCTAATTATAGTAATGACATTTTTCTTTTCCGTTAATGAATACTTGATTGTAATTTTTTATACTTCAACGGTAAGCAAAAGTAAGTTTCAAAATAATTTTTACACCTACAAATTAGGAAATCATCTTCAAATAGTACTATTTATATATTTAACAGAGAGGCAAATTACAAAAGTACCACTTTGAACTTTGTACTACCTGAAATAGTCATAATATAATCTAGTCGCTATTATACTATAATAGAATTATAGTATAATAGCGACTAGATGACGCCTGCCCTGGACCTGGATAGTTAGCGTGGTTTTAAATTCCGTAATGAAATGTCATAGGCTGATTTTATTAATTAAGTCCATTTTGTATCTAGACAGATAAATACCACGTGGTGTTTTGGTAGTTACCGGCACCAATATCTTAATAGGCTAAAGAAGCAGATGAGAAGGATCTCATTATTTTTCTATTTTACCCAACGACATGTTTCTTTGAATCTTTGACTTAAATTTTATTCCATTCAGTCGAATTACGTTAACTGTTAACTGTATTAAATTATATGTACTATTTTTATTCATTTTATATTAAATTCTTTCGTTAAAGTTATAGTAAGCTTTATTTACCTTTAGAAGAAAAGGTAAAATATATTAGAAAAGATTTTTCTGTTCTCAATTAGAATTTGTGCTTCTAATTGATCAGAGACAGAAAATTACTCTTAGTATTTTTTTTTTCGTATGTGTAAGGGTCCGTAAAGGCATTAATAGATTTTTATAGACTATCGAGAAGAAAAATGTCATTTCTTTGAAGTAAATATTTGACGTAGTTTAAACAATTATAAGTTAATTGAATAGTATGTGAAGATCCTAAAAAGTAGATAAATGTACCAACTGTTTTAAGTTTTCCCATTATTTGTTTAAATGTCCCACAAATTTTATCGACTTTGTCTCATAAACGTTTTAAAAATAATAAAGTATATACTTCTACTTTCTTGTAAGTAATACTTAAGTGTAATAATGGATTATGATCTTTCTTCCTGTACATGCTCAACTAACGTACCCCAGAAAATGCAGATCCGTTCCATCCAAGCCTCTCCTGGTCACGTGTCTTTCGTTCGTGGGTGGCCATTTTAGCTTTAGCTCTTAAAGCGGCACGGAGCGGAACGTTTGCCTTAGCAGCTTCAGCACGACCGTGTTGACAAAACTCCAGTAAAGCTACGCCAAGAGCCACCGCAAGGCCACATACAAGTACGTAAAAAACTCCTGAAATTTGGCTTAAAGTCATCTCCGTAATAGTAGTTTCCTGAAATGTAAAAAGTGGAAATGTGTAAAACTCTTCTTCGTTTCAAATTACTAACTTATTTATTGTTTTTGAAAAAAAAAAATTTTATTTCTATAACTACGTCTACCAATAATTTGTAATAAGAAAATTTATACTGAGATCGCATTTGCGCAGAAATTTACCATTGTTTTTTTCAATCAAATGGAACTCGGGTTATGAATAATTATCTAAAACTACACGTTTTTATTATTTTATGTTTAATCATGAATAATCTCCCTAGTTTCATTAAAAGGAGCACTAGAAAATCTTAGATATGATTATTTAGTTATTCATAGTAAAATATCGCCTTTTTCGCTTTTAGCTTTTTATCTCAACTACCTTGATTAAAAGGCAGATATTAAAAAGTTTTAATTTAGTTATTAAGATAAATTTTTAGTCCATTCAATTAGCAAACCTGAAATTGTTTCATTAATTAAAATGGTTGGTATTAACATATGTATTAGCAAAATTAGAAAATGGAATTGTAACGATATTCCAATAAAGGACCACTATTACCGTTCTAACACACGTTTGCGTTAGTAGTACAAAAAACAAATATTTAAAATTAAAAAAATATATTTTTTTTTACTTGCGAACTTTCCAACCATAATTTGGAATTAAAAACCGGTTGCTTATGCAGTTTTTTTCACTCAGTCATTTTTATAATACTAAAATAAAAAGTGTAAAAATGTAATATAATTTTTATGAATATATAATAATAATAAAGTTGACTACAATAAACAAATTACAAGATATTATTTAAAAACACACAACTATGATAGTAATTTCGCTATCCCTACAGGTAAGTAATTCGCTTTGATGTTAAAAATAAACGCTACTCAGTAGCAGTAGAGTTAGGACACCGTTTTTCGTGTAATTAGTTTCTGTTTCTAACTCATACGTACGGTATATTACTAATATTTTAATATTAACCGTTTTAAGTTTAAACCTTGTCCAGGATTCATATTTTCCTCACATGTTGCTTTTAAAGGAACATTGATATTATTATGTACAATTGAAATATTAAATATGCATATTACATATACATAACAAAAGTCTCAATTAAACAAAAACAATTTTAATTAAACTATTTTAAAAATCTAGTTTAAACTAAATTCATTAAAGAGAAGTATAACAGCAATAACAAATTATAATTAATGATAATAAATTTAAAATTTAATTAGTTACAATCTCTTTAATAAACAAATATAAAAATGGATTGCTGTTCCTTAGTCTCGCTAAACCTCAAGAACAGCTGAACGGATTTATCTTATCTTAGTCTTGAAATGTTCGTGGAGGTTCAGGGAAGGTATAAAAGCTGAAAAAAATTGATTCATTACTGAGAAAACCATAAAAACAGCCCTTTTCTATTTCCCATACAAACGTTTTTTTTTGACATTAGATTTGACAACTAACTTATATGTCAATCATTCTGTCCCACCTCAAAACATGGAGATTTATGGCTTACAGGTAAACTCCAAAAATATAAATAAAAAAACGTAATAGATATTTCTTGATTATAGGGCGATACGAAGTTCGCCAGGTCTTCTAGTAAACAATAGTTTTTTTAGGGCAAGAATTTCTGACACGCCGGTGAAAGCTTTTAAAAACAGATTTTTATTTTATTAAAAAACTATTAATTAACATAACCATTTTTCATTTTCAAAAGATTGTTTAATAATTACTTTGCCTTTATGTGCTATGGTATAATTAAATCCTAACATTTATTAAAACTGTCAGATCAGGACTATTTTAATACAATCCTTATGATTCTGACATTTTAATTACACAAAAATTTTACTCAGTGTGCGTTCCTTTGATCTTGTATCGTCAACTGTAATATAAATATAGAGGTTAAAAATAAATAAAGGGCACCTCATCTTTCACGAGGTCGCAGTCAGGTTTGTTCGTAGTCAACAACCACTTCTTCCATAACTTAGATATAACACCATCTTTCTTCATATTGACAATCACTAGATTTATTCCCTCCCTGAAATTGATTAACTATATATTAATATATATAGAATTTAAGTCAGTGGTAAGAATTTATAATGAAGTTATTTTAAGTGATGCAGGCCTATTCATATATTAATAAGACTAGCTTTTGCCCGCGACTTCGTCCGTGTCGAATAGAGACTTCTGACTACAGATTTATTATAAGTATAGAAGAAGATAACTTTAGTTTTTTTCTATACCGATTTACATGATTCTTTTTAATGGATAGGTAATAATGTTAACTTTATAAAATTAGGGATGAGTGATAGTGTTGTAAATTTTAGAATAGACAAATACAATCAGAAATCTCCGAATTGCTAAGCTATCGGGAGTTACACGTGTGAGTCAACAATAAAAGATAGACATATGCCGTCGAGGAATACTTTTTATATAATTTTAAGGAGAATATTGTATGTAGCTTTAATTATGTAGCTTTAACCTATAAGCCTGCACACGCGACGGAAGCTTAAAAAATGGAGTAACTTCTCCCGTTTTCCCAATATTTCCCTTCACTGCTCTGCTCCTATTGATCGTAGCGTAATGAAAAGTATACTATGTATAACCTGCCCAAGAGTATGAAGAATAATTGTGCCAAATTTCGGAAAAATCCGTCCAGTAGTTCTTGTTTCCATAACGAATATACAGACAGACAGATAGACAAAAATTTTACTGATTGCATTTTTGGCATCAGTAGCGATCCCTAACCACCCCTATAGTTATTTTTTAAATATATTTTATGTACAGAATTGATCGCTCTACAGATTTATTATAAGTATAGATTATCATTAGTACATGTATTCATAGCGTTTTGCAATGGCAAAGTTTTAAAAATATTATCATACATCAATGTCCACCCTGTACAACTTACAACCTCTATACAATTTTCACTGTGACAGTGTGGTTACTTATACATTTTCGGAATGAAATAAAAACAGGGACCCTAAGCTGGTAGTACATTATTGAAACCACTAGCAACAAAAACAAAATCGCAAGTATTTATAATTTAAAATAATGTACATTCCAAATATAGATCATATTAATATGAAATAAAGTGTTATCTATATAGATAATGGTCACAATTAAATTTATTAGTATTTCTAAAGAGGTTCCTCAAAAAATTATTGAAATAAAATTAATGTCCAGTAAAATGTTTCCAACCTAGAAAGGCCATCCGGTTTCCTATTTTAAGAAATATTTCGTTGCTTTTGCTTTGTAACTTACAGAATTCAAGAAACGTTTCTTCGTCGTCCCTTTATTTTTAAAAAGAAATTCTCCCAAAATTCCTTAGTCTAATACAGTTTCCCGAAGATTCGATTTGATATCATCATCAATAATCTTGATATTACATGGAATTTCCTACTATTTTTTTATATTATAAAATATAAATTTCATCTTTTTAAATCATAACCGCAAATCATGTTCCTCCGATAAAAATACCGAAATATAAATTCTAAATGCAGAACAACCCACTATTGCTGACGGACCCCGCGTATATTTACGACTTTTCAAAATTCAACCGGGAATTACAGAGATTTAGGCTAGATATCGGCGCCTCCCCGCGCTGTAGTTTACCAACCAGCCCGCCCCCAACATGAATTACCTCGTTTTTATTTATGCCATCGTGCCTCTAGAAATGGACTTTTACCGACCATTAACTTTTTCCAATTTGATCTTTATAGGATTTGTGCACTTTTCTCGCTTATATATTGAAGCTATTTTAGAAGTTCGCCATAATTCACTTTTCTGCTTGAAGACACATTATAACGGATAGGTTGTTATGTAGCAAGCTACATTGATCTTTGTTATGCTCATTTGAGATCTTTTATACATTGTAATCGTTCACAGCCTCTTTAAATAGATTGAGTGTATTACACTTTTTGTATCATATCCTAGCTTTGGGTGAGCTTATAATTTCTTTGTTTCAATCTTAGTTCCGAATATACATAGATATGTATCTTATTTATTATAATATATATATATATATATATATATATATATATATATATATATATATATATATATATGACATTACTTTTTAAAAGAAATTTAAAAAAGCTTTTGGTAGACTATTTCATTTTCGGGACGAAGTTAAAGTCTTAAGGTTCTAAATAAGTTGGTTCACAACAAAATGTGACATAGAAGTTATTTTAATGTATATCTGGCTGAAAATATCTATAAATATTGCTGGAAAATAAAAGACAAGTACTTATTTTAGATAAAAATTTTGAAGTCCAATCTAAATGTTTTATCCGTAAACTGCGGCGTACAAAACGAAATTATTCTATATAAAATTTAACTTGTTCAGACCAATCACTTTAAAAGGGATACTATATTGCCCGCTAAAGCACACACAGCAAATCGAAAACACGAAGTACTCGTCACAAACTCATGATATTACGGACATTACAACTTAATTTTCAAACATAGAACGAAAAACCTCTTTTAGAAATAGATATTAATCACATACTATTTGAGATAAAACTTCTTTGTAAAAAAGTAGAAAATAAGAAAATTACCTCTTACTTCAGTCTTTAGATTTATAATAAAGCATATTTATACAAATTACGTATTTGTTTAGAATAAGACTTTGTATACAAAAAAACGTTTATTACAATTTAAATTTTCTAATTTTCTAAAATTAGCTAAATATACTTCACAAAATGAGTAGACGGAAAACGGTTTAAACAAAGTAGTAACATTATAAAAGTATGTAGTTTCTTACCTTAGAGGAGACCCCTTAGCCATGGCAATACCAAAGTTGACTTGCTTGTATCTGCATGAACGGATATCTCGATAGTGAGAAAAACTCATATCGAAGTCACTGACTAGATCGGGGTTTGTGTTTGGGGTCTGTAAGTATTTTTAATTTTATTTTATTACTACGTATGAAATTAAATTTAGAATTTTTTGAAATAAGCTATATGGAAAATATATCTAATATTCTTCTTATATAAATCGTGGGGTATACATGGAACATAAATAATGGTATAAAGATTTGTAAAACAATAACTATATATGTATATATATATATACTGAAGTCTATTTCAATCATCTAATTTGTTTCATATATTTGCTACTTATTCCGCTTAGCTGATATCTCCACATTTACATAATTGTTATTTATAACCTTATAACAAATATTAAAATAGCATAATTTGCCATTGATAGTCCCATTAGAAGTTAAGGTCTCACAATTAATTAAATCGGAAATAAGTGTACCCATTTGTTATTCATGGCACGTTCTTACAAACGCAATTCTGAGTTGCAATGCACTAAAATACTATTAGTTTGACACTATGCGGTTAATAATTTCTTGAGTTTGTAAGGATACTCGTACTTTAGAATTCAATCTTAATTCAATGCAATAGTAATAAGTAGATATTAAACATATTCAAATATTTTATCTCAAATATATTTGAAGTTAATATTAGAAGAATACAGTTAAAATAATAATAATTTATATGTACGACTAACAAAAATGGCAGATATGAAAACAAAAAGCATTGCCTAGGTTATGAAATATTATAATGTCAAGTATTCAAAAAGAGATTCAGAAAGAGAGAGAAAGTGTGTAAATTGATTAATTAATACACTCTATTAAAAGTACTCGGTGTTATGTAGTAAAATGAAAATTATGTTTGCCATGAATATCTTCAGACAGTCGCCTTGCTCTATATCTACATTTAATTATATTTTACCTGCTAATGTGCCTTACTTCGTTTATAGACTCGTATCTAATAGGTTGTGAGATGCGTTCAACAATCAAGTATGCAGCGAGGTTCGCAGTGTATGAACACACGAGAATTAATGCGAAGAACCACCATACGATGCCAACTATACGGCCCGATAGAGACCTGATAAAAAATAAAATAGTTCCATGTAACACAGAAGAAGGACAAGAAGATTTTGTTAAAAAAACAAGAACAAGAAGATTTTTTTTAAAAAGTGTAAATTTTTTTAACAAAATCTTCTTTAGCTCTTTTGGATTTAGTATTTAATTTTAAGTTCTATTTACTAATCTGCTGCAGAATTTAAAAAAATAAAGTAAATTATAAGTAAAATAAAATGTTGCCGGTCAAAAAATAAACAAGGAGAACATCACTTTACGAGTACATATGTTTGTATGTACGATATGATTAATAAATCGAAACTCATAAAACCGAACCACTTAATGTTTATTATATCATTATTTTTGATGTAACAGTTGTTTTACTATAAGTAGCACGATTGTTGAGCCTTCTGTGCCAGTTATAAATGTGCCTCGCTGTTCCAAGTATTATACACGTACTAGTTTACACATAAAGGGAGTATTTAATTTAAATTGTCCAGCTCGAGATAGCGTTATTGAATCGTCCTAAAGCTGAGTTTTTATATTTTTTAAGGTTCACAAAAATTTATATTTTAACTTAATAAAATAATATTCGGTAATTATGTATATCAAGTTAATATAGCATACTTTGGTACAACATCACTGCCTTGCTGCATAAATGATCCAAGGGAGAACCAAAATGAATTCCAAATGCTGAATTTGTTGTGCAAGATAATCTGAAAATACAAATAAAATCATATTTTCTTAAAATTAAATTGTGTAAATTATTTAGTTTTATGTATTTTTTTTTTGTAAGCTGTGTAGCTTGATAAGTTTTAGCATTGATCTTTCTTGGTGTCTTACGAATAAATGCACATTACAGAATACAGAAACATATTGAATATATATTGTATTATTTTACCTCATTGGTATTGCTAATTGGGTGTTCCAAATGTGTATCTGTTATAGACACAGATCGCCATTCGTAGGGTGAGAATCTCGACACTAAGAATAGTACTATACTGACGGCAAAAAAACTGAATATAACACATAGCTGAAAAATAAAATAAAACATACTTTACATTCAAGTGTTAATAACATATAATTCATAGATAAAGTACATTAAGAGTGATCAGTGACGAAAGTAATTTCAAACTAGATTGTCTTATATAAAGTATTCATATATGTTAAATATTTAAAGGAAAGCGATACATGCAATTTTTATTTACTTTAAATATATGATGTTCAAAATCAAAGAATCACTGTATTGTTAAGACGAAGAAACCAAAAGTAAGTTGAATTGGATTTTATTGATTATTATCTAAGAACGACATATGATATTAGAGAAACAAAAATGGAGCAATAAATTGTAAAAGATAAACAAATATTAATATGTAACAAATAGAATAGGGTGGTATTAAAAAACTAAGATAAATAATATCCTACCTAGTTTAGACACAAACATACCGATATTAATTACAAAAGTCAATATGGATCTAAAGTAATAATAAAAAAAAGCAAACACGACGTAGACATAAGGAGGACCAAATCCTTTTTATTTCTAGTAATTTAAGGTATATTTATTTAAATATATTAGTACACTATGAAAGTATGATTAATAATAACAAAACCTTAAATTCTCGGGGACAACAAAATATTGATATTTATCTGAATAATTTACAATCTTAAATACTATTTAATGAGATCTAAGATTTTCGCGAGTACTCATTTAAATGAAACTAATATTTTCGGATTTTACTTCGCGTTTTATTTTTGATTATAAACTACATACTCCCGACGTTTCGGATACTTTTCGTCTGACCGTGTAAAGCCTTATAGTTTCACTATAAATCAGCCAACTAAGAACTTAGTACTCAGACCAAGAACTGTCATAAACATGGGGGAATACGCTTTTATCGGATAACGTTTGACAGACAGTATTAGTATTAGACAGTTATAAACACTTAGATTTTTACCGTGTTATATGAAGATCTCAAATAAGTTACAAATATATATTAATTTTAATAATTAAGAAATGAAACTAAGATTAGAACAATAATAATAATATGTGAAAATTTCTTAGGAAATAAATTTAAACAACGCGGATTGATATATAAATTTGCTATATATGTACATATATACATATATATATATATATATATATATATATATATATATATATATATATATATATATATATACAGGGTGACTGGTGAATTACTATCAATATTTAAGGAGCATACTCGGTACATGATTCTCATTCGAATTATGTAAAAAAAATAGGTACTTAATTTTTGACCAAATTTCCGTATAAATAAATAAAGTGTTGACACGTTTCAAGTGTTCAAGTGTGGACGCGTGCGGGGGCGTGCTGATACAACACTACGTCACGACACGCGTATGTGTGAGTGTCAGTGTATACCTAATCTGTAGGGTGTTCACACGATGCGTAATTAATTACATAACTTTAGGTTAACTTTACTCAGAAGTTTATTAATATTTATGTTATATTAATTTTTATTTTGTCATATATGATCGTCAACTACCACGTCCTTAAATATTGATAGTAATTCACCAGTCACCCTGTATATACTAGAAGACCCGGCGAACTTCGTATCGCCCTATAATCAAGAAATATCTGTTACGTTTTTTATTTATATTTCTGGAGTTTACCTATGAAAGCCATAAATCTCCGTGTTTTGAAGTGCGACAGAATGATTGACATATTAGTTAGTTGTCAAATCTAATGTCAAAAAACGTTTGTATCAACAACTACTAATAACTTAAAAATTAATTAAAAACACATTGTCCACCGGACAAAATTGTGAATCTAAACCATTCCCAGATCCCCTTGAACATACACAAAATTTCATCAAAATCGGTCCAGTCGTTTGAGAGAAATTCAGTGAAATACACACTCACAGAAGAACTATATATATAAAGATATATATACATATAAAAATGATAAAATTTTAACGTATCTTAATTAACAGATTTGATGATTTCTTCAAAATATTCAAACAGAAACACCTACCTCTATAAATAAATGAAGACAATCAAAGCCAAATAAGAATAAATCTAAAAATATGACACCCGAGAACTTTTTGAGAAACGTTTTGATATAAACAGTACGTTAAGAAATTCAATTAACCTTTTTTTTATTAGCCGAATAAAGAAATAAGACCATGATTCGACAGAATCCAAAAATTTATCATACTTCAAAAAAGCATTATCTCTTAAATTTATTAGGAAAAATCTGGACAAAATTAGAGAAACCATCACTAACACGGACTAATGAGGTGAAAATGGACAACCGGTAATCAATAAATCATATTCAATTGAAGTAAGTCGGTCTCTTTAAAGCTACCCGTAATGTGGGAGAAATAAAAAAGGACCCCATCTCGAACATTGAGCTTAGACACAGAAATAGGAATTGTAAGAAAATCTAACATCAAGCCAAATCCTACTTATATTCCAAGAACTCCGTCGACCAAAATCAAATCATAACAGTTTCCTCTATAGATCCGAGGAAGACCCGAGAAGACGTGGTAGAAAACACATAATATGATCTAGATTAGCCACAAATTGACATCTCACTGAAGTCTTCCCCGAGGTTTGATATGGCAAGTAGTCTGTTATAAGGTTTACAAAGTCTATAATTTTATGCAGAAAGAAAAAATAACCCTACAGCTACGGTGGAATAGTACAGACATTTATAAATTGCAACTAGGGAAATGATGTATTATTACTATTTGGAATCCAAAAATCAAAACAGACCGAGTTTTTCCTTTTTGGGAGCTAAGCTTAAACTCACAACGCTATATTCAACAGTTCGGATCAACACAGTGGATACGAAATTTGACGGATATCCAAATAAAGCACAAGGTCTTAATTATCTCAGTCAACTCAATATGGAATCATGCCGCAGTGTGACACTAAGGACCCTTTCTCAGACATCAAAACAAAGGTAGGAAAAGAAGTGCATGCCGAACAGACAAAATGAAAATGAAAAATTCAAGTATAGGTATTTCTGTCTTCGATTTATGTCCAAAATAACATCAGAAACAAAAAATAGCGGGTAGGAATTAAGTCACACTATAGCCAAAACGCGAATTTGGGCAGCTTCGTCTACATAAATAAAAAAGTAGTTTTTGTCGAAGTTACATTATTAATAAATCTAAATGATCTACTTAATCACTCAATAAACGTAAGCAAAAAAATATATATGATAAATCTCTGTAATACTTAAATTAGGTTTTCCTAAAAAAAATATTTACATTTAAGTCTAAAATAATTTTAATCAGAACGAGTTTACCGAATGCATAAATATAAAGAAATCCCTTTACAGAAACTTTGATTACCAAGTGAGGAACAAAAATTAGCTTTCATATATCTTAAATTAAGCTGTAGAATTAAGAACATCAAGAAACTATCAGAAGAAGATAGAAATTTCCAAGCGACAAAACGAATTAGGGAGAAAATAAAGACGACCACAAAAAAAAAAGTGTATGTAAAGCCAGTAATAGTAAAATGTAGTATAGAATAGATTCGTCTAATCAAAAAGGTTGTAATATTTGCGATTTTGAAAATGCACAGACAAATTTGTTATGTGAAGATTAGAAACTTTTAAAATAAAAATTCACTATTTGAAACGCTTACAAGATAAAATGAAATATCAGTATCCGACCATTTTAAAAATAAAAGACGCCAATGAAAATACCACTAATAAAATAATAATATGTATAAAAATATTCATTATTTTGGTTCAATGTGTTTTGATATCTTAAAATTATGTAGTGTATGGTTGCAGTTATGAATATTCAATAAACTATATATAAATTCTTATTACTGTAAATAAGTAAATAAAAATTGTTAAAAATTCTTCTTTCATATTAATCCAAAAGGATTAACAAATTTATGTTTTAAAATAAAAAAAATGTACAACATTTAAAAAATATTTTTAGTCCCTTTCAGACATACAAAATAAGTAGTAATTAATTACAAATTTTTTTTATAAACTTACCCAAATTTCCTTAGATAGTGGCCGGAGAAAACTAAAGGTACCAGAGAGATGCTTAGTATTTTTGGCTTGTTTAATCGGAGTTTCAATCGTAAGGAAGGGCTCACTGAAATCAATTACTTTCTCTCTTTCTGGGGTAATTGCTAGCGGCGCCACAGCTATATCAGAGTCCTAGAAAAAAATTGTTTTGAAAAAATTATAAGTATTACAAACATAGTTACCATCTTAGTTCTAATTTCTATCTCGAAACAACAATTCAATTTTTTCAAGTTAGATATTAATCACTATTTTTATTAAGAATTACTTATACGAACATTATTTTTTTACTTTTTACATCCTAGCAAAATCTTTCGCCTATTTAGTTTAGGATTGATGCAAATAAAAACTTTTTGATTAAACTTGTTTTGTCAACTAGTAAAAAATAATAATTTACACATGTAAAGCTGTAGAGAAATTTAAAATCTATACATATACAAAAGAAAGTCGTGTTAGTTACTCCACTTATAACCCAAGAACGGCTGAACCGATTTAGCTGGAAATTGGCAGGGAGGTAGTTTAGAACCAGGAAATTGCAATAGGATACTTGTTATCCCGTTCGACAGCATTTCCGTGGGACTTGACATGAAACTTCAGTCACTATAAAACGTGGCATAACGAAACACAATTGACAGCTATGCAATTGATGTATAATGACAGATATGTATGTACCACAATTTGGTATTTGTAAGAAATCTACTACATAAAAATAAGTCCGGTTTTCCAACCTGACGCTATAACTTCAGAACGAAAGAACCAAGAAAAGGGGGAAAATCTTTTGTCACATACATAACATGTACTACAAATCAATATTTTAAGTACATGGTGCCGTCGCATGATACATTGTTTGACAGCTACTCATTGTTCTCTTCTCAGTTAATTTCATGTGACAAACCGGTATTGTGTTTGTAGTTTGAACTCTTAAAACCATTTAGTATTTGCGGGATAAATTTAGAAAATCATTGTTTTTCACATGGGCAGTTATATTTGGCGTGTTCACGAGTTTGGATACCATACGCTTTATTTGTGTTAAATTTAGACCAGAAAATAAAAAATGTGGTTTACAAAGGAGCATTTCAATGAAACGGATAATTTGCGGACACGTATAACGCTTCGATTCGGTATATACTTTGGATTCACTTTCATTTATTTAAAGAAGTTCAACTAAATAACACTTCATTTTTGTAATCGAAATAAATTCATTACTTTTGTCAAATGAAATAAAAATTTTCCTTTTCAAATATAAAACAAAAAAAAAATTCTTCATCTTTTAATCACCAAAAAGCCTTCTGATGGCGAAACGGAGTTCGCCGGGTTTACTAGGTTATAATAAAAAATTGTCAAATTTCCTTAAAGATAAATAGTTAAAACACATTAATTTTTAAATTGGTGAGTACTTAACAATCAGCGCAAGCTAAATCTCATATATATGTATGTACATATGGATAGACTTGAAACTTGGGCGGATATTAAATACTTGGCTGAACTTTAAACAAACGACTGAACGCCTTAAGGCAAAATACAAGATCTCTAATTCTAATGATACTTTACATTTATTCCGCTATTTGTGAAGTACATACAGGCCGTTTAATTCAACTTAGGGTTATTTGTGATTCTCACTGTAAATTATGTTATTAAGTAAAATGGTATAAAATTAATGGAATTTATTTATACGAATTTAAATCAAATTTAAAGAAACAAAAGCTATAGAGGTTAATTTGATATCAATTTACTATTCAAATATTTTTGTGTTAATGCTACATATAAAAGAGATAATACTATTTAATATATTTATAAAATATAAATAAATACTCTCGTGGAAGTTATCATAAAAAAAATTACAAAAATTTTTGTTGGTATTGAAATCAATAAGGTTAATTTTGTGAAAATAAGATTAAAAAACTTGTTGAGTTGCTTTAGTAGTATTTGTAGAAACTGCTAAAAGCCAAAGTAATATTTTTTAAGATTTGACATTTCAGAGGTATTTTATTGATGACAATAACATTATCAATCCCCGCAGGTGCCCATTTTATGGAAATATCATTGAGTTTTAAAATGTATTCATACATTTTTTATAAAATATAATAGCTAATTAAAGTTGGAAAAAATATTGATTATTTTCAATAGCTACATACAATGAATAATAACCATAAAATAAAAAAAATGTTATATTTATAAGTAAATCATGATTTCATTAATAGGAATAACAAATTAATGATTGCATTAATAGGAATATTTTCAAATGTATTTTTTGAAATATTTATAAGAATAGTCACAATTAGTATCCATAAATACTTAGAGACAGTAGTGTGAAAATTTATATAATTCTTCTTATTATATTATGTATAGATATATCTATGCAATAAAAAAGCATTAATTTGGTAAAGCGTACAAACGTATTATTCTAATAAATTAATAATACCGAACAATTTTGATTGCCAAACTAAACTCTTATATTGAAATATGGACATTAAGATTGGGTGTGGAATATATTACGCAATATTAAATATTGATTTTTATGAGCAAATTTCATATACTTTTATAATCAATAAAAAAAGTACATAATTTAGAAAAATTAAAATTTCAATAAAACATGAACCAACCGGTTTACATATAAAACAATTAATTTTTAATAAATATAAGTGACTTTAAACACGAAATTGAAAAGTTACAAATAAATTTACTTACCACAAGATAATAAATATTTATTAATACCTACCAGTATTAACTTCATTTGTTAAAAAGGATAATAATATTTATACAAACGTTTAAAGTAAAAACGAAATTTATTACTCGGCAACGACATTAAAAGTTTTAAATAATAATATTATAATTATACTTAATTAAATCAAAATTTATTTTAATTTGGATTTCTCCTTTCCATAGAAAAGAATTATCAAGATTGACTTTCAAGGCAACTCGCATTCAAAATCTTTAGTCAAATTACGAACCTTCTCTTTTTTAAAAGTTTGTCTCATATCTAAAAAATAACCTTCACGCTGTCTTCGAGGTCTATTTAAGTAATGTAAATAGAAGCTGATTAAAATATATTATAGGGATGATAATTTCATTATAAAACATAAATTTCTATTTCCATAAATTGTTTATTAGCATTATGTATCGTATTTGTTGTCTGGCTGCAGGTAAACTTTAACTTTCTAGCTGTTGGAAATGGAATAGAGATTTATTTTTAAAGAACGTGATCTCATATAAATCTAGTCCACTACTTCTTTGATGAAACCTAATTTTTTGTATTATTATTTATTTTTTGACAAATATGTATGTACATACATCTAAACAGAAACAACACGATTTATCTTCATGCTTATAAACTTTAACTTATGCAATTTAACTCATTACAATTAGCTCACATAGACATAGCTTATGACAATAGAAGCATTGTTTCCTAAAAATATTTGGAAATACCAAATAAACTAAAGTGTTTACAATTAATAAGAAGAGACGACTTACCTTTCTTAAAATTTCTCCCACAAGTCCGGACCAAATACGATGTGAGACTTCTTTACCAAACTTTCCATCTCGAACAACACGTATCTCATCTATAGAAAAATTATCATTAGGTAATTGAACATTAAATATTGTATTTTATATTTACCACTTTTTATTGATTTTTTACATATTTAAAATGAGGTAGCTGATATTTTTCAAAGAGAGTTGATCCTTTTGTAAATGGAAAGAATATATCTTAATTTATTTTTCTTACAAAAGGAAACATTTTATTTGAATATGGATCAATCAAATCAAATGGGTCTTGTAAATAAACCAAAATTTTTGTAATGGCGATAAATCGGAAGGTAGCATTACTACTACTTTTTAAATTTTATTTTAAAAAGCTTATAATCCATACACCATTTTGATAAATGTCCTAATGAAGGTGCTCTGTGTACTTAAAAAATATGTACCAAGATTTGCCGTATGGGGTAATTATTTTACTGCAAAATTTTTGTTAATGACTGGGAATGTTTTATATGGGTAGATGAAATAACTATAAAACTAAATTATCACTTATTTATCTATTTAATGGCAGTGTTTTATTTTTATCACTGACGTCAATTGCGTTTGAGACTAACAGAAATGTACGTCAGTACGAGTGCGTTTTATTTAGTTCGAAAATTACGTATATAAGTTTTTCTCTAATGTAGTATATTTTATTTACGTGAATTTAAATTTGAATGAAACTTAAGACTTACTAAAGTTACATAGAATGACTGAATATGTTTTAGAAAAAGATTGAAACTTGTATGACATCATTTTATTAAATTTTCGCTTACGTAAAAAGAAATTTCATTGCAAAAGGTTTAGTATATTGTGGATTAGGGGTTCGGATGTATTAATATTTCTTTTATTTATAATTGTTTATCACAATAAAACTATTATAAATATTACTCTTATACAACCCCTTAGTAACAATGACCGATCTTTTCTTTATATTTTTATATATAACCTAAATTTATATTTATAAGTTTCTAAACAAATGCTCTGGGTTTCTTTCTGTTTTTACAATTTTGAAATAGACTTTCAGCAAGACATTTCTCACGTCACAATTTAATAGATTTTTATCCAGATATTTTGTTCTTCTTGGGATTATTTTGTTTCGACACAAATGCTAGAAATGTTGTAATTCCAAAGAAAGGAAAGTTGGATAAACCGTTTTGAGAATTTATTCCAATAATTTTCTGTTCTGGGTTGGTACTACAGTGGTTTACTGTCATTGTAATTTATATTTATCTAATTTGAGTTAGCCTAAATATGCCTCTTTTTGTTCAATTGAATTATTGGTCATGAATAAGGATTTGTTTTTTTTTTCAAAAGTTCCGAATTTAGATAAAATTTAAATAATAATGACAGTTTGATTATTGCATCAAAACTTTTGTAAATAACAAGTGTATTAAAAATCCCATTTACTATTTTATTGCAAAATGTTTAAATTTTAGGCAATCTTTTGAAAATATTTCAAGCATACCATTGAGATTAAGTAATAATTTCTGTAGGTAAATAAACTTACTCTTTAAAAATATAACAACATATTTAAAAGTTAAATCCTTCAATTAAGTGATATTTACATTTGATTCCAAGTTTAGCGGCAATCAGATCAACCAAGTCCTTGCAAAATCCATGAAATTGATCTTCTCGTTGTCCATATTCGATCGGCTTTATCATCATAAAGGGATCTTGTAAAATAGTTGTAATGGTGTAAGTTTTATTTGCGTCGAAGAAAACAGGAGCAGCAGGTTGTTGAATATTTTTTGACGGAACTAGAGTTAAACCTTGTTTGTCTGTCCATGTTGCGACCTGTGTTAGAAATTAATTCTTGCTATTGATATTAATAAAATATACCTGCATTTATTATTATGATTTGTCAAATAATCACATAAAATTGAAAATATTTTATTATTGATTCAATTTTTAAAATTCTATTACGAATAAAAAAAGATTTCTAAATGTGTAGTAAAACAAATATAGAACATATTAAATGGAAAATTATAAAAGTTGTTAACTGTACTTTGGCTATTACTATGGATATCGGTTGAAATTGATGAGTCTATCGTTTGAAAACCGAAAGCCTGAAATTTGCAATCTCCGGAGGCTAACTTTGATCCACATTAATGATGTCCGTGAGATTAAAACTATCGATTCAGACAAACGAGGAGTTTATTAAAAACTATAAGACTAATGGTTTATAACATAATTAACTTTTCTTCCTTTTATATAAAACATAAAATATTCAGCAAATATATTTTACTTCAATTTTAATTTATGAGTAAATCCGAATTTACTTCGGCTACAACTTTATTATTTAGTCCATTAATAGCCATAACAGAAAAAAACATTACAAATTAAAAAACTTTACCTTCACCATAGCACTTTGCACAGTCATTTCCATCACATGCAGCGTAAAATTACAACGGTGCCCTTCTTCATTAAACGATATATTTCCGGTTAGACCCTCGATATCCGTCTAAAAAAAATTGTTTTTGCGAAAGATTTTGATATACAGCTGTGAGAACATAAAATGAAGGTGACCTCAACATATGTCCAACGAAATGTTTCCAAGTTTGAAACACTGGTTCAGAAATCACTTTTTATCTAAGAACCTTGGCCCTTTCTGTAACTTATGTGAATGGTTACAGAGGATCGTAAATATTTTTTATACTCTCGACCTACATCATTCGATTTTTATTATAGTTACACGTGTACGATAAATTATCCTATTATTAAGAATATAATCTTTAAGAATGAAAATAATATGCAGTGTTTAGAAATTTATTTAAAAGTACTCGTATAACTTTGCTGCATGAAAGACTATTTTACTAAAAATACTCTTGAGATTTGAATGTTTGTTATAATTATTTTCATGTTGCTTAAAAAAAATTATAGTTACCTACTATTTTAACATACATTTCAATGTTTTTTAAAATTTCTTACCTTCTTTATAAGTCTTGATATTTTATCTCCATGCTCAAATGGTACAACCCAGCTTTTTCCTGGATTGCAATCTATAACTTTGGTTGAATTGGCTTGGGCGGCAGCGCGGCGGAGGGCACTTCTAAATGCATCTGGTTTTTTTTTCCAAAGGCGTCCTAAGGCATCCATGAGAACCTGCACTCCATCATACATAAGCGCAGTTTGAGCCTAAGACAAATGACCAAATTACATACGGAATACTTTTTAAAATAGTACTCAAAAAGCAGAAATAAAAAATATTTGTTTAACAGAACTCAATGTAATAACATTTTTTCATAATTGACAGTAAATAATATAAGTTTAAACTGTTTTTAAGCTTTTGACACATATTTCATATAAAGCCCATACTTATGGTTTCATTAGAATTTAAATTAGTGGAATCTACATAAACGCGTTATTACTCCACGTCGAAAGTTTCTTCGAGATCCACATTTACACCTCGAGAACAAACTTTATGTTACGCGAAGGGTTTCTCGTAAAATTTTGTTGATACTGTACAATAAAGGAGGTTCACAGATATAGTCAATGATTGTGTATATCTTTTTCATATTCATCGACGTTTTCTTATATTTTACGTTACTAACTTTGTTTTTATTCGAATGGTTAACTTTGTTTCTTGGATCATGTAACAAAACAGTAATGATCAAATGTTTTTAGTTTTTGTTGAGTTCAAGATTAAGTTTTGCACTCGCTCAATACATTAATAGAAGTATAAAACTATAGCTTTTTAAGTCTCGCAACTAAGATATTTTCATGTAAGCATTCTATTTAAAGAGATCTAAGATTTTTTTAAGATTTTATTTTAGGAAATACTACGCGTTTTTTTTATTTTTCACTATAAACTACATACTCCCGACGTTTCGGCTACTTTACAGCGACCGTGATCACAGGCAGACGAGATGTGTGTATCTGTCAGTAGGCTTTTTTATTTTATCACCTACCACCATCGATTTCTTAATCTTGCCAGCAGAATGGGCTTATGGTGTCTTGAGGTCCTGCTGTGTGGTCACGGACATGGGATTTTATATTTTTAAGAAGAGGATCCCCGGTGTTTGATAGGTTCCAGCCATCTTCTCTATTGAAATTGGGGTGTTTTTTAATTTCAATAGCCGCGCGGATTAATCTTGGTATATATCTATCTTCACGAGCGAGAAGATATGATTTATCAAATCTAATGTAATGGCCTGGTTTGTCCAATGCATGTTCACACACTGCTGACTTCGACAGGCACCTATTCCTGACGTCTGAAATGTGTTCCTTAACCCTTGTACCGATGCTTCTCTCTGTCTGTTCGATGTATGACAAGCCACAGTCACAAACAAGTTTATATACACCCACTTGTTCTAAAAGAATGTTACTCTTGATTGGTCTCAAGAATTGGCTCACTTTCTTATGTGGTTTGTAAAGAGTCTTGATCGAAAACTTCTTCAAGATGTTTCCTATTCTGTCAGTAACTCCCTTCACATATTATGGTAGAATTGCAGATTGTCACTCAACTGTAGGTCGCTTCAGGTGGCTTTTGGGATGCTGGCGAGGAACGGGCAGACTGTTGATGGTCAGAGCATATTTTACATGCTGCAGCTCGGCCTCTAGGTGGTCAGTGTCACAAAGGTTTTGTGCTCTCTGTAACAAAGATTTGCCAACGGTAACTAACTGTTTAGGGTTGTGGTGTGAGTTATCATCGAGATAGCTATCTGTATGTGTGGGTCTCCTATAAATAGTATGTCCCAAAGTATTGCCAGGATTCCGGATGACAAGTGTATCAAGGAAAGCTAATGAATTATTTGCCTCTAATTCTATAGTAATTCTTCCACATGAGATAGCCAGATGTTAGGCAATGCTTTCACAGTTCTACATATTCAATAGGCATATTTTTATCCTCTGACTTACTTCTTACAATATCAATGCAGTCAAAAACAGGTAGATTAGTGAATAATGACTCTACATCGAAACTGACCATAATTTCATTGTCTGCCAATTTAAGGTGTTTAATATCATTGGCAAATTGGTAAGAATCCTTAACACATGAATTTGTGTGGCCCCAGAGTAGTGGTAATATCTTTGAAAGGAATTTAACCAGTTAATAAGTTGGTGAATCAATCTGGATTACAATTGAGTGTAATAGAACATCTTGTTTATGGATTTTAGGTAACCTATACAATTTCGGTGGTTTTGCACACGATGGTACGAGTGATTTGATATCCAGATTAAGTTTAGAACTGTATTTATTAATTAAAAATTTTATTTCCGTTAAAACTTTAGTCGGGTCTTTGTTAACTTTTTTATAAACGGAATTATCCGAAAGAATTTCAATTATTTTACTATCAATGACTCGTATCCTTTTACTACGGTCTCTTTACCTTTATATGCACGGAGGACAGTCAGATCTTCATTGTTGCGAAGGTGTTTAAGTGGAAATGATTGCTGACGAGAGATGTTTTCTTTAGGCAATTTGCTCCGGCGCAGAATATATGATACGTCCTACCGGATTGCTTCAGACTCTTCTTTCGTGACCTGATTCTCATGAAGACATTTCTCAACGTTACAGATACTGTCTTCGAACGGTAATTTTGATGGTACAGGTGCAAAATCCAATCCTTTTTTAAGGGTCTCAACGGTTTTGTTTATCTAAAGTTTGCTTTGACAGATTGACAACAGTCACCGGTGACAGTGTTGCCCGACTTAAATTAATATTAGAATTATTGCCATTCCTATTTCGAACTATATTTTTGTCCGTTAATTTTTTAAATAACTTGTTTTTTATTTTTAGACTGAATACACGTGAATTGTTTAAGTTTATTAATGATATCAAAACATTTTTAATAATCTGTCTTTGACAAACATTTTTGTATTTCATGAAAAAGCACATCAATTTGAAAATCTAACTGCCTAGTATCTGACCGATGTTGTCTAATAAGGTGACAAAGTAACCGTTTACTTGCCTGATGGTCAATAGCAAGATTCAATTTACTATAGAATTAGAGGCAAATAATACTTTAGCTTTCCTTGATACACTTGTCATCCGGAATCCTGGCAATACTTTGGGACATACTGGGACTCACACATATACATGGGACCCACACATACAGATAGCTATCTCAATGGTAACTCACACCAGAACCCTATACAGTTAGTTACCGTTGGCAAATCTTTGTTACAGAGAGCACAAAACCTTTGTGACACTGACCACCTAGAGGCCGAGCTGCAGCATGTAAAACATGCTCTGACCATCAACAGTCTGCCCGTGCCTCGCCAGCATCGCAAAAGCCACCTGAAGCGACCTACAGTTGAGTGACAATCTGCAATTCTACCATATGTGAAGGGAGTTACTGACAGAATAGGCAACATCTTGAAGAAGTTTTCGTTCAAGACTCTTTACAAACCACATAAGTGAGCCAATTCTTGAGACCAATCAAGAGTAACATTCCTTTACAACAAGTGGGTGTATATAAACTTGTTTCTGACTGTGGCTTGTCATACATCGAACAGACAAAGAGAAGCATCGGTACAAGGGTTAAGGAACACATTTCAGACGTCAGGAATAGGCGCCTGTCGAAGTCAGCAGTGTGTGAACATGCATTGGACAAACCAGGCCATTACATTAGAATTGATAAATCATATATTCTCGCTTGTGAAGATAGATATATACCAAGATTAATCCGCGCGGCTATTGAAATTAAAAAACACCCCAATGTCAATAGAGAAGATGGCTGGAACCTATCAAACACCGGCGATCCTCTTCTTAAAAATATAAAATCCCATGTCCGTGACCACACAGCAGGACCTCGAGACACCGTAAGCCCATTCTGCTGGCAAGATTAAGAAATCGATGGTGGTAGGCGATAAAATAACAAAGCCTACTGACAGATACACACATCTCGTCCGCCTGTGATCACGGTCGCTGTAAAGTAGCCGAAACGTCGGGAGTACGTAGTTTAGGTATAGAGAAAAAAAAATATTAGTTTCATTTAAGCATTCAATTTTTTCATTAGTTTTAACTATTTTGGCCGTAGGGGCCGGAATGTTCTCGACTGAGGACCACGGATTGGTAAGCGCAGCGTCGGACGTCCATCAACGAGATGGACGGACGACTTAGCCAAGGCCGCGGTTCACGGTGGATGCAGGCCGCCTCCGACCGTAGTGCTTGAAAGTCGATGAGGGAGGCCTATGTCCAGCAGTGAACAATAAATTACTAATACGATCGAAAACATTCCAAGTCGACATTCTGGTTAAAATTTAATGTTAAAGTATATTTTTTCTAAGTTGTATCGTTTTTTCCCCAGAGAAATATGGCTTCAGCCATATTTTACATGTCGTAGTATTTTTTTTAAATATATTAAAGTCAATTAGACAACTTCTTTTAAGTAATTACTTTAAATTAAAATGGTATTATTTTTAAGTTATATTTCTAAGTGGTATACATATAAGACAGGAAACTTTATAGATCAAAGAATTTATGTAGGTAAGTTACTTGTTCTAAGTTCACTGATTGCTAATGGATGTGATTTTAGGGGCAGTAATAGGTGGTTTTGTCATGGGTGTGTCTTGTTCCAATTCATAAGATGTCGGAATTAATTGTGTTATTAAATTCACTTGAAAGTCCTGACACATCATTTTCGATGTGGGTCTCCACCATCTTGACCGTTCACTCTATAACGATAAATAACACCTGTCACGTTAACTCAGATATTGTCTCGACCAAGATATGTTTAACACTGTAGCCAACGTCACGAATTAAAATAAGAGCAGATTTTCCAGATTAAGAAACGCAGCCTTCTTGATCAGGAGACTCGATGACCTTAATTTGAAACTTGTCGATCCCCTTTGTTTGGTCAGCTCAATGTACTGGTTAAGGTGCAAGGGAGACCAAACCATGAGGATATTAGTTTCCCACAACAACACAAAACAACTGATGGTCTGGTGTTTATGTTTGTTTTGTGTGTTTTAGAGGGCAGTTTGTTTCTCACTAACTAGACCACCTGGTTGTTTTTTCTCTCTTCTAACAGGAATCAAGACGAATAATTCTTCATAAAAAGGTAGGAATAACTGCATTTTCTTTTTAAGATTTTGCTGATATACTTCCGGGAGAAGGTGGAACTCGTAGTACGAGTAATATCTACTCCTATCAGCAGAAAACTGTTGTGCTCGGGGACAGATTTATTGGGCTGTTAACTCGGATACCGATGGATGAGACCTATGTAGGTATCGTCAAGTCAGGGATGGGGTTTGGCTATGATGATAAGTCTCAATACTGTCAAGGATTCGGGATCCTCCGCTTTGAGTTATTAAAGGAGGTCCTCAAGTGATGGGTGCTTTTTTACTTGAGGGCTTTTGCTTTGGTCTACTTGTCGTTTAAAGCAAAATAATTTGTCTATAGTATCTATGAAGAAACTCAGGTTGCAGGTTGCTGCGAAGAATTTATAGAAATATATTTTGAACTTTCTAATGTGGAACTTTGCGTTAGTCTCCTAGCTTACTGGTACTGGCTATGCATGTGATCCGAGATAATTTTTTTTTCAAAAGTTATTTCTTTTCATAACAGAAAATGATACGCTTGTTTAAATAAAATTATCGTTTACTGTAAATTAGTGATTTAGTGATAATAGAAAACCTTATAGCGAGAATAATTTGAGAAAGTAGTTGTTATTGATTAATTTAATTTGCTAGGCGAAAGTGTGAAAAGAATTTATTTATTTCTCTAATGATTAATCCGTTTCTAATCCCTCTAATTCCTTTGAAAACAGTAATTACTTACATATTGAGGACTTATTACAGTGAATTTCTTTTATATATACAAATCTTTGTGCTACTGTATAATATGTATACAGTAGCACAAATTTTTATATTTCATTGTTAAATTTCTATGCTATTGTGGTGTACAATAAAGTATATATTATTATTATGTGTATATACATACATGTAAAAATGTTCATTAATGTTAAAACTTATTAAATGGAATAAGGGAAAAATCCCCTTCTTAAATATGTACATAATCATTTTAGTATCAAAATAAGTCTTTTTGGCTTGTATCAGTGTACATAAAGATTGTACCTAATGAGAAAGAATTAACTAATTTCATCTAAAAGTAAAAACCGTGATGATATTAATACTACATATATCGATTTCGTTAGAAGCTGTGCAAGTTGTTATGAAGAGTACATTACCCTATTATGTAACAAACAAGTAATTAACAAACGGAGCTACGTGAGTGTTCTCCTATTACACTGAATTAAAAAAAAAGACGTTTCTACATTCAGTAAGACTTGGATTGGCTTATTAATATTTTTGAAATATAATATTTTATTTAAATGACTTGTTTTATGTACATATTTATAAAATTTGTTGACTTAACTTAAAAATCGGCAGAACACATACAGGTAAACGATGTCTTAATAGAGCTTAGTTATAAAACAAGCAACAATATTATTTTATTCTCAAACCAAATGTAGAAATACATTGTTACAAGGAACTAGCTAATATTTTTGCTTTTGGTTTTGTACGTGGGATCTTCTACCATAATAAATTATTTTTACATTATTAAAGCGTAAAGACAATGTCCTTTCATTTATTTATCGTTTTATTATCATACTGCAAAACATTGAACCATTTCGCTATATATAATGCTGGTAATGAAAGACATTTTCACAGTCATATCACTTATATAGGATAATGTGTATAAGTATTTATATACAGATTTTTTCAGATCGATAACATTTGTAATGAACAATTACAAACATTGGTTTGACAATAAAACAATGTGAGTTACTATTTAATGGAGAGTTTTCTACATGCATAATAAAATATGAGAAATGGAATAAATATCTTAATAATATCTCTCCTAAAACTTTTAACGTTATCATAATTACAACCTAATATATAATAATAATTATCATTAGTTCTAATTTTATAAGAAGTTGTGATTTTTGAATTATTATGGAATTAAAATTAATTAATTTAACTAAATTGTAAAATTGGCCATAACTTCCTGTAGCAACATGAGCCTATGTTATAAGATAAGGGATGATATAAAGACAAATTACATTAATATTACAACGTAAAGTCTTGGTACAGTATAATATCCATTACTTCCAATGAATAGGAAAGTGTGCCATCCAAGCAGCCTCATCGGATTTAGTCCTACTTTTCTATAAAGTAAGATAATTTTAAAACTTCTCATGATTTTTTTTATTAAATTAACTCTGGAACGAGAATGAAATTGGGTAGCTTTTTCTTAATTAGGTATTTCAGTTTCTAAAATTTGTTTCTCATATTCATATATACATAATGTTTTAGAACAATTAAACTGTATTTACAAAGTGATAAAATTTACTTAAGTACTTACATCTTGGAAGAGATACTATATTTTAAATAAATATCCTAAACCTAAAAAGCGTTTAATGAAAAAGTTACTCACCGACACGGTACCCTTAAAACGGGGATCCATTCGTTTTAAACCTTCCATAAAATCCTTTACATTTTTTCTAGAAAGATCGACTATACGGAATCCGGTAATATTGAGTGCCCCGTACTCCGTTACCTCGTCCTCCCAATGATCGTCCATAACCTGTAAATGAGAATGCCTTGAGTAACTTAGCTACGTGATTGAATTTGAAAAAAAAAATTGCAATATAGTATTTAAATAAATAAATTTAAATTAAAGATATGAAAAGTTTCAATGAATTCTGTTTCTAGTTATTATAGGTTATAAATCATTCTGATCTTTTAGTGATAACGGATGTCTTTAAATAGTGTCCTGCTGAGTTTGTATTAAAATTATTTCTTAAGTGAATATATGCCTTTTTTAAGTAGATAAAATAGTTTGCAGATTATTGGAAAATTTTATCATAAATAATTTATAAATAAGTTAAAACACCTGAAAGGAAAGTAAATGATATTGAGTTATTGATCTTATTTGAATTTTTGTGAAGGTGCATGATTAAAATTATTCAAAATTTATTATTATTCCATAATATTTATACAATATGTAGTTTAAGTTAAGAATAAAAGCAAATATTATAATATTGACCCAGCGTTCATATAATTTGACTATGACTAATTTAGGACTATAAATAATTCAACATAACTGACCAGTCCGCTTAGCATGTAATGGTAAGTCCGACGCCCTAATTGTACTTTTCGTACGTGTTCCACAAGAATACTTTTTGCATTTTTCGCGTTGCAGTCCAGTACTATACGCTTGTTACTCCACCGGTCGTATTGTTCCAATGCTAAAAGGAAATCCATTGCGTCGGATGCATTGTATATGCGTTTTACTAAGGATATTTTGAATGCTGTTTTGCCAGGCTGCATTGTCTGATACAGTTGTTGTAAGCGCAGTAAGCCTATAAAAAGAGGAATGAATAAAAAAAGGTTATCAATAAACTTTTTAACTACAAATATTCGTCTTTATTATTGTAGACAAACATATTTATTTCAAACATTCATTTTAACTGTAGTAAATTGAACGAAATTAGCTCTATCATATTAGATATTTGTAATGTTAAAACTCTTCCGTTTCAAAGCACCTTATCTATACACTTAAAGGTCCAATTAAACTTTGTTTCAAAGAGAATTCAGAGCATCTTTTTGTATTTTCTCAGAGTTTAAGTGTATATGACTTATAAAAGTAAAAATAAGACAGGTGGTGGGGCTAGAGATTACTGTGATATATCAATTAAAAAAATACTAACGTTTTGGGTCTTTGCTTTTTCCGCATAGAATTGTAAATTAATTGAACTAATAAAATTTATTCAGATCAGAATTTTCAGAAAATAATTTTACTTGAATTAATTATTAAAAAATAATTTTAAAAATCAGAAAATTTTCAAGAATTTCAGGAGTTAGAAAATATAGATTTTACCAAATTTATGTAGAATTTATTATAAGTAAATATTACTACAAACTGTAAGTATTTTCAATAAATTCTAAATAAACGTTTTCAAAAACTTTTACATTTTCACAACCGTATTCTTGTGTATATAACAGCCAGCTACATCTATTTGCCAATATTCCTAAACCAATTGAAGGCCGCACGCATTTTATCGAATTAAACGCCCCATATAAAATAAGCGATACGAAAAAAGGACAATGTGTGCTTCGAAGAGGCAAAAAATAAAATCTGTTTTCTGTAGAAAAGCTTTACTTTTATATATTGTATACGTGGTACGTTACTTTGAGGCGCGGAATTGTAAGCTTTTTTCTCTTGACAACCACAGCGTAAGATATTGTAGACGAAAGTTTCACTGAAGTTACGTTGAATAACGTTATTTTAGAAATGTTTATCAAGGTTTATGGATAAGTATTAAGGAGTGTAAAAGTTTCTGCTTTTAGAAATAAATAACATAAAAAGGAATAAAAAATGTGGTTCAAGCTTGCTTATTAATAAATAAGAACTTCAGTTATAAGTGTTACATATTTTATCAGAGTTTCAATTAAAAAAGTAAAGGAATTATTTTAGTTAACATAAACAAACGTAATGTAGAAGATGTTTTAACCTTTTAATATTAATATCTTCTGGTAGACACAGATTGTTTAATTTCTAAACTCAAAATGTTTTATTTCTTTAAATTCACTAAATAAATTCAATTCTTAATCTTTTAATTCAAAACTGTTTCGATGTTAAGAGACAAATGTGCGGGTAGCGTGGTGAAAGTTTCTGATGCCGGACTATTTGCAACATGTGACGCGTTTGAACCCGTGACCCTTGAGGTTTCTGTCACCACTCGACTAATGGCATGTGACGTCAGCTGGGCAACATTAGTTATAAACTTATTGTTCTTTTTGTGCCTTTTTCATTATATTAACACGCTTGGTCCACTTTACTGTTTATCACAAGTAGTTTGATCAAAAATACCTTATTTTGCTTTGTATTATGTTATAAAATTTATTATATTACAAGTATAACGATATGCTACAAATAGAGATAGTTTTTTTTTATTAATTGCTTACATATCCTTATTTATATTAATTGGCAACTTTAATGTGAACTGATAGGTTTTATTTTGAGTTGTTTCCTAATTGGAATTCAGACTATAGTTATGATAAAACATATTATCATGTAATCGTACAAACCATTAAACTTTAAAATATTTGTATATAAATCTCGTAAATTAAATACACGTTGTTTAAAATCATAATTTAAATTATAATATTTAACTAAGTTAGTTAGACGAAAATATTTCCCTTTTGAAAAACTATTGTTCAATACAAATCAATTTTTAGTGTCGTGACCAAAAGGGACAGATTTGCGTCATCCGTGACGTCAAGAACCTTTTAAAGCTTATGTTTCAGAAAATAATATATTTGAAGGTTACTTTATTAGACAATAAAGTATAAAACCATACAAACAAAATAAGTTTTAAAAGTAGACACAATTTAATTTAAATAACATAATCGTCACGTATTATTTACGATCGTCAGTAATGGAAGTCGATTTTCGTAATCACCTCGCTCGGCGATCATAAAGTTTTATTAAATACGAAACTTATTAAATGGCTGTAATTACGGGTCGTAAAGGCAGGAATTAAAAAGCATTTTCGTCGCTTTGCGGCTACGGCTTTGCGGTTTGTTCACCTTAGGTAAACTGTTGTGAAAAACAGTTGTTGTTGACGAGACTATAGCCAGATGAGATTAATTTAGGAAAAAAAAAATTAGATACAAAATTATATTTTTGAAATTTATAAGCTTTAATAAAACCGTTATTAAACTGTACTAAATCGTTAATCGTTTACTTCTTAATAGTAAACCATTATTCATAATATTACCAACAAAATACATGTTTATTATAGCAAACGACTATAAGTCCCCATCATATTTTGGAAAAGTTTCAACCCTATAAATCTAGTCGTGTTTGCGAATGGTACATACATTATCACGATTTGACGACGAGTATACGTCAAGTAGTGTTGAATAAACGTTACATCAGTTGACGTCGGCGTTCCATTAACTATCTTTTATATGCATTAAATATTTCCCAACAATAACTATGGTAATCGACGATGGCGGCTAATAGACGGAACAAATTGGCGAACAGAATGCCGCTATCACTAAATCTTGCATATTGAATCTGGATGGCCTTCGTGAAACGATAACAAGTCAAAGTAAAATTTTCACCCTAAATACATACATAGCGTATATAAATATTTTCTATTTAAAACTCATAATCTAAATAACACATTAAACACCATACCTATATTCAAATTGAATATTCTCTGAAATTCATAACTCTTTGAATTAAATTATTTTCTACGAGATGAAAGTTATCGAAGTTTAAACTGTATTAATTATTTAAGAATGTACAAGATCTGCCATACTTAAGCTTATTTGAGCATCTTAATGCTTTTAGTCAAGTATAGAATATTTAACGTCATAATTGAGTTTGATTAAGTTTTTCGGAACATTCAGTGTCAACTGTAGGTAGAAAATATTTTCAAAAAAAATTTAATTCCAACGTATTCTCCTTAGATATACATATTTATACTGAATTTGTAATAAAATTAGATAAATTATTAAGATTTTTATCTGAAAAAAGTTATAAACATCTGCGAATTAGTTAATTCTTTCAAAGTGTGTATTAAATAGAAATATTAATTTTCCTAACTTATGAAGAAATGAAAATAATTTGAGCCGTTCGCTAGCTCTCGAAATTATTAAATATTTTTAAAGGTCAGTAGCCTATAAACCAACTTTTAAATATAGGGCAGATTTCGTAAAAATATCCATAACTGTATTTTTGCATATTTAAATTCACTCTATAAGCTCTTAAAAAAATAAAAAGTAAATTTGTCCCACATCTTAATTGCCAAAATGTTATAAATTACATTTAAAACGAGTTAAGTTTCTATGAAATATTTTTTAACTCGAACCAGCACTGTTGTTTCAATTTATTTTGTACTTATCATGTCATTGGGATAATAATATAAAAGTCAGTTATTCAGTTTCTTGGATGTTTAGTTTTTATATATAACCTAATATTTTTTTACGAACTAGAAAAACCTTCGTGATGTGAATCTGCAAAAGGGCTTAGAACATATTTAAAATATACTATGGAAACTTTTATCTATCACTGTGCTGCAAGAACAGATGTCTAAGCAATTATAATAGATTTTTTTATATTTTACTGTTAGCATAAAACGCGTACAAAGATATATATATATATATATATATATATATATATATATATATATATATATATATATATATATATATACAATTGAGCAATTCGTCGTCGTCATCATCAGCCTATCAGAATCCACTGCTGAGCAAAGGCCTCTTCTCACATGGAGAAGGTTTGAGTATTAATCACCACGCTTGCTCAAGACGGGTTGGTGATTTCAAACTTATAATTGTGAAATTATAAGTCCAGGTATCCTCATGATGTTTTTCTTCACTGTCTGTCAGTGGTGTCTTATTACTCTTAGAAAGTACATATGATTCGGCTAAATCACATTGGTACTTGCCAGAATCTAATCCGCACCCTCGTGCACGAGGGGCGCGTTTTTAACTACTAGACCACCACTGACTCATAAAACAATAACAAATAATTATTACCTAATATGAAAGTAAGCTATTATGGAAATTAATTCTACTTTGTCTGTTTGATAAAATTGTATTTAATAAATATGTATATACTTCGAGTTTTATAATAGTTGCAGTGAAGGCACAGTTAAACAATTTTCTATATGATAATAAGCTTTAAAAGTAACAACAAAATGCTCTAAAGGTGAAATAGTTCTTTAATTAACTACAGTTTCAGAAATTATTTACCGTGTATAAATAATTATTAAGCGAATATGAAATTATTTATTAATCTTCGTCTGTATTTTCTATATTGCATATTAACACAGTTTTGAAGATAACATAACGTTACCTATTTAAAAAATATCGGTACTCCCATAAATCATTTTAAAAGAGGATTCGAAATCGGTGGCTTTCATACTACCCTTTAGAAAAAGCCATGCCGCCAACCGAATAGTCGGGTTATGGTTTGATGTCTCATGAAATTGTGTGGAGAATGGGTTTAAACAGTTCCCTTAAAACAATTCCATTAAAAATTCCATTAAAAGTTTTCCCTATGACAAGACATAGCGTCAGCGGCCTTGTCACATTGCAGGCCCCAATTTTCACGCTTATATGCCGCTGGACATTGGTCTGGAAAAATTTGGTTGTGTCTACCAAACGCATACAAGAATACTGCCGTATTATTTCAAAGACTCGGTCAGGCTGATGTTTTCTTATTTTAGCAACTTGCAGCAGAACTGGTATTTTTTGAAGACTAGTGTCATAGCTTCCTTATCATTTATAAACTGACTGACTATCCTTGAATACAGCAAGTAAGTGAAGA